CGGCCGTGTGCTCATGCGAAAGGAGGCTCGCCTCAAGCCCCATCACTGCCGCTGGAGGGCGCCCATGGATCTAGTGAAGGAGAGGCGAATACAAGGCGGTAGGGGCAAAGGCGGGTGGGCTTGTCGCATCTGAAGTACTCCTAGAAGCCATGCCTGCACCAACACGGGATCTGCCTCTCCTAGGGCTCGTCGTTCAAAAGTCAGCCCATGCAAGATGCAACTACATAAATTGGAGTTTAGTCTACGCGTACTAGATCATCCCTTTCGTTTCACAAAATCAGGCATCATTTCGTTAGCTCGATGGTGTCGATGAGAAGAAGACGGTGCCCGATGGCAGCCTGGAGGCGAGCACCTTGAGAAGCGTGCTGCTCCACCTCGTGGCCCTCCTGCCCTAGGGCCACCTCCTCGAAGGAGACTCACGCAGGACGCCCGCCACCAGAGACGATGCTGACACTGACCACATCTTCATCAAGGGTGTTTGGCATGGAGGTGCTTGGTGGGGTGCTCGTCGTCGTCGACGCTGATGTCGCCAAGCACGCCAGGAAGAGGACGAGTTGAAGAGAAGAGGAAGCATAAAGGGAAGGGGAAGCATAAAGTTGAGGTGGCCACTTACATCTGGGTCCACATGTTTTTTACTCCTTTTTTTTTGCTTACTAGGATGTCACGTAAAACCAGCCATCCATATTGTCATAGGACCTATAGTAACCTGGTTTTGCATGTTGGGGCTAAGATTTTTGGTGTTGCGGTTCAGAGATATGATTTAAAGTCGAAGAAAAGATAAGGGACCCAAAGTGGACTTACTCCAGAAAAACCCCAACTTGGATCTCTACCATACTTTAATATCCATATTTTCTCATATGACTCTTAAAACATCTACAACAGCCTCTCTATCCCACTCCCCAAGTTAAAATTTAGGAAGTTTAGGCAAATTCTAAATTCCAACAGACTTGCCAACCATATGCCTAATCTATTCGGCTAACCAAACACATATCCATAGCTCTAGCTCTCTCTTCTCCTCTCCCTCGTCCTCGAGTGCACAACAGATTGAGCGAAGGCCGCAGGTGGCAGCATCCCGCGCCGATTCCCATCATTGGCTTGCCTGTCATGTGCCGATTCATGTGTCAGGTTCACCCGGCCCACGCCGATTCTTATCACCAGCTCGCCTGTCCTGTGCCGATTCCCATCGCCAGCAGCAACACCTTGGCCACCCACCGTTTAGAGCTCTTGTTGGCGAGCAGTGGGCGGAGAGGCTGGCGCAGCGGCCGATGCTGTCCGGAATAGTGTCGTTGAGCTGGATGACGGTGAGGATGAGTGCCTAGAGCCCCGCCACCATCGAGAAGTCCCCCCTCAGCCCCCACTGCAGCAGGTCTATCGCCACGACCACGTCGCCGCCCGTCCCGTCCCGCCCCGCCCTGCCCCGCCCTGCCCCACATACCTCCTCTTTGTCATCGCCCCAACACCATGCTACGGACCTGCCATGGACATCCGCTAGCACGCGAGCTATATCAGCTGCACGTTGTTGTCTTCCCCGCTGTTGTGCACCTCGCTGGTTATTGAGGAGGATGAGGCCGGCGAGAAGGAGAGGAAGAAAGATGAGGAAGAAAAGGATAGTAGAGGCTGTCATGTGGGTCCTAGTGTCATAGACTCATAATGGAGAGTGTAGATGGGGAGACGGTTTGAGTGAACAATGAGTTTGGTTTACCAAATTAATTGGAGAACTGGCTACAATTGTTGATAGAGATTAATTTGTAGTTGAATATAAATGAAGCTAACCGTATGAATTAGTTCTAACAGCCGGGTTGGTCATATGAATACAGTTTACTGCCTTTTAGAACCTTGGTTATGGATTAAATTGGCTCGTTAAACATTGACTTCTTAAAAACAGTTGTTTTCGATGTCTCAACTAGCTAAATTTAAAGCGGTAGGGAATGTTTTATGATTTCATAGCCTTTCATCGTTCTACTATAGATTATGTTTTAGGGCCCATCGTATAGAAAAATCTGTGCAAATAGTGTTATATATGACAGTGGCCGATGTATAATTTTTGGGGAATAAAAAAAGTCAGCCCATGCAAGATGCAACTATATAAATTGGAGTTTAGTCTAGGTTTACAGGATCATCCCTTTTCTTTCACAAAACCAGGTACCATTTCGATCGTTCTTCAGACTTAAGAAGAAAAATCATAATTGCCTGGCCAAATCTGGAATACAGTGTTATTAATCTAAGGAAAATAAACATCCGTTTTATATATGGACCATGAACTTTTGTACAATTTTTTTTTTGAATTACATTTGACTTTAATAAAATTCTAAAAACACTATATATAGCCCCACTATATACGGTGCTCTATAGTAGAAAACAATCTAAACCGTTGATCTTATTTGATCGAAGTTTTCAGATCTACTTCTACTATCATCCTAGTTAATGGCAGTAAAAACGTGAAAGGGCATCATTGTAAGAAAAAAGATGTGGCGGAGGTATAATCATTATTTAGTAGTGACTATACATTTTTTTTCCTTCTTTTTTTCTTCCTCGATGGAATATGAGTGATACCATCGCAATGAATGAGCATATATTGATCTAGACAGAAATGTCAGGGAATAAAGGGAGAATGAATAAAACAGTAACAATCGGCGAGTTTTTCAAGCTGATGTTGACTGGCAATGAATCATGCGGTTTCAGAAAGACTATCTTAGAAAAAAAATAGAAAGAAAGAGTAAACCTAAGTTCCATCTATATGCAAAAACATACATACCAAATGAAAAAATGTCGAGAATGAGATCGTTGGCTTATAAGCTGTAGGCAAATTTTAAATTTTATAACTCAGTTTAGATTTAGATTTTATTGTTTTATATTTTGAAGCCTTGGCATTTTGACCACTAAGAATAGAAGTATGAAAGTGTAATTCTAGAATTTTTTTTGCTTCATTTATTTTTATGTTTTATCATCCGTAGCTCAACCAATTGCTTTACAAAGCCATACCCAGAATTTGAATTAGAACTTGATTTTAGAGTTCATTTTATGGTTTTTTAATTTATCATATTTTTAAGATTTATGTTTTAAAAATAGAACTATAACCATCTTATTCTGTTGTTATATTTAATTGCTTTGTTTATTGTTACAACTTATCAATCGTAGCTTAATTAACCAATTATAAGCCATATCTAAATTTAAATTTTTAAACTTAATTTTACATTTTATTTAGGGTTTTTTTCGTCACACAGTACTTCCTGTTTTTCCAGCCTTGTTTCTGGAACACGAAGAGCATAAGTTACAGGTCTTACACCTAAAATTATTAATTTTGCCTCACACTTGTGTATCGGCTTATAATTAAGCCCGTAGCTATCCGATGCTAAGAAAAATTCTAATTTTGTATAATGCCTACTTGTTCCAAATTAAATCATTGTTACTATAGAATTGAAAAGAATATTTGCATAATTATAGTTGTAGAATTAGTAGAAACAAGGTTACATCTAATTAAATTATTTTCCATAGTACACAATTAGCAGGTTGTGATGTTAGGACTGATTCTATAACCCCAGGCCCAATAATAACCTATTTTTATTAGAAAAAAGTCAGACGATCTGTTGATGTCAAACCCTAGTGATAAAATCCGAAATGGCAAGTTGGCAACCATTGTGCAGCTGAATGCAGAAAGTCGTCCCTAAGGACCAGAGTTAGGGTTCAACTTATTAATTAACCTTACTTTTCTGGCGCACGTATGTGTGCTATATATGCTAATATGTCCTGCAGGTGAATTTTTCTTTTCAAAAATACTATGCATATGATTTCTACGTACGATTCTAATACGATTGTGAACGGATCGATTATAAACGCCATGAGTTTGCTTTGTTGGGAAATGGACAAGTGATCACCGTAGGCTATCGCTTTATGTCGCGATTGTAGGGAGAATCATTGCGTCGTGCGTATGCAAAAAATCGTATGTATAGCATATCTTTGTAGGTCCAACAAGCACAATATATAAGATTTGTTTTTACTTGATTTTGCATAATTAATTACTGTAGTAAAATCCTGCGATAGTAGCAATACAATAATGTACTCTCTCCGTTCCATAATATAAGGGATTTTGGAGGGATGTGATATATACCAGTACTACGAATCTGGATCACGTACCTCCAAAATCCCTTATATTATGGGACGGAGGGAGTACATTAATTCAGTTAAGGGTTAGTGGTGAAATTGTCCCAGTTTTAGTGTGTGAAAGGTGAATTTTCGACTCATTCATAAGCTGATGGTGAAGACGACGGATTAGGAAATTTCAGGCATGTTTCATTTGTAGAAATTTCTTTTACCAAGTTCTGATATTAACATATATTTGGTAGGGAAACAAATCAAACGTACTCCAACCAACACAACCCCATAAAAATTTGGTAACTACGCCGTCAACATTAAAGCTCCTCTAAAATTTGATTAGACTTCAAACTAATTATTACCTTCATATATATTATCTTTTACTAAAATTTGGTAATTCGATATTTAAGGTTACTTAAGATGAGTTGGTTTGGACAACAAGACTAATAACCCCTTAGGACATGAACAATAGTGTGATGTTAGCATCTTGAAGGGGATGTCACAAAGGATTTTTGATGAGGTGAGGAGAAGAAAAATACAAGAGAGAAATAAGTCATGTGTTAATTACTAGACATTATACAGACACATATACCCCAGTGTATGTTGTGTGTACAATCAAATAATTAATCAAATAAAATAATCTATTACATATAAGCAACTGTATGAATTGTTTGTATGTTTAGATATGATGCCGAAAATTATATGGTAATAATTATCTCTGCCATAATCAATTAATTCACGCTCTTAGAGTTGAGAGGTATATATATTGGTCCTGTCGTCTTCAATATACCAGGAATATTTATATGCATGTAAAAACTACTACATATATAATAAATATATAATGTGCCAATATGAATGCTCAGCTGCCACTATATATATGTGGAATTTCGCTAGTGATAGCAGGGGGGTTCAGCTGGGGATCGAAATTGACAATGGCGCTGTTAGTTTCTTTTGTTGTATTCGTGTTGGCTGCAGCTCATGGTGCAGTCGGTCAGCCAGGTTATCATCCTTTCAGTTTTTTCCTGCCTTGTTCGTAATTCTTTCGAACCGAAATACAGAATACAGATTTAATTTGCATATATATTCAGAGATTGAGATCACTTGCAGATGTTGTAATAGGCTAATAGCTAGCCAATGCCATGACGATCGATCTGATGATTCTTTATGCGTACGTGCAGGTTTCCTCAGCATCGACTGCGGCCTGGACGGCAACTATAGCAGCGGCTACAAGGACCCCGACGAAGGCATCACCTACGTCCCCGACGGCACGTACGTCGACGCCGGCGAGAACCACAGGGTGGCCGCCGACCGAGAGAGCGGGCGGCTGCGCTCCGACCTGACCGTCAGGAGCTTCCCCTCCGGCGTACGGAACTGCTACGCGCTGCCCACCGTGGCCGGAGCCAAGTACCTTGTCCGGGTGATCGCGTTCTACGGCAACTACGACGGCAAGAACAGCTCGTCGTTGCAGTTCGACCTGTACCTCGGGGTCAACTACTGGAACACGGTGAGCGCCGACGGCGACGAGGTGTACGAGGCGATGTTCGTGGCGTGGGCGAGCTGGGCGCCGGTGTGCCTGGTGAACACCGGCGGCGGCACGCCGTTCGTCTCCTCGGTGAATCTGAGGACGCTTGGCAGTGGGGTCTACCACCCGGTTCTCGCGGCCAACCAGTCCATGTGCTTGTTTGACCGGCGAAACATGGGCTCAAACGTTTCTATTTTACGGTACATCAAATATATATATTCTTCCATAGTACTCTCATTTCAGTAAATGATCATTTGACAGTAGGATAAGATTTATGGCATTATCTTTTTGTTTATGCTTATCAACCAAAATTTGAATTTTAAATCTTAAATTTAAAGCTAATTTTAAGGTTTTCTCATCGAAATTTATTTTTATCTTTTGCTTTTAGATCGGTAAAAATATGTATATAAAAGTTTTATTTATAAATTACTTTTTATTTGAAAATATATCGTTTGGCTTATTCCGCTAATAACCCATCCGAAGCTTTTCACTATCATTTCAAAGCTTATCTAATAAGTTAATGATAGTGCGATAATACTTTTCAAGAAAAAAAATTGTATGCATACAATTAAATAACGCTAATTCCCATCCCCCAAAAAAAAGCTAGTACTCTCATACCTCATAAAACCACATCTTAATTGATCACCTTTAGGATCATTTATATAGAATAAATTATTTCTAACGTTTTGATCACATCACCTCAATTTTTTAGCATTGCATCTCATTGATCTATGATCTCTCTTATGCTAATGCACCATCTTAACATTTCTATTATCGTAGAATTTATGCAAGATGTAATTATGTAAAGCACGTGAAGTTAAATCGTTTAGGTACATTCTCAAAAAAAAAATCGTTTAGGTACAAAATCAGTTATTATCATACCACTTTGTCGCAGCAACGCAAGATTTCAACTACTTTTTTTTAACACTAACCATTTGAGAAAGTATTGATAGCCAAAAGTTTAACAAAATTTTATCCTAATGCCAAATAGTTTTGGCAGGGGAGTAATAGCAAGTTTGCACTGGACACCGGCCAGCTGAACTCCGTATTTATCAATTATATATATATATATATATATATATATATATATATATATATATATATATATATATATTGAATTTGTTAATTAAGTCACAAAAATACAAACATATACCAAACAATTCAATAGTTTTAAATTTTAATTAAATATATGAAATCAATAAAATCTTACCAATGATCTTCAAATCAATATAACTTAGCACTTATCAATTCGAATTTCAACATTATAATTCACTCGAGTCAAAGTACAACTCAATTTATATTTATTTTGTATTTTGAATTATTAAATCAGGATAAAAATATTATTAAGAGTTCAAACCATTACAACTTGGATTCTAAATTTGATTAGCTAGTCCACATGTATTTGGTGGAAGATATTGGTCATAGATTTGATAGATGGACATTTATAATTTTATACTTTTTATGAATTTTAGTGCGATGGAACTGTCAGCTTCCCAGCTTCCATTAGTAAGAACAAAGATTTAATCTACTATTTTTTAATAAGAAATTATTTAAAAAATACCTATGCATTTTTGTTACCAACCCCCTGTTACTATCCATTTGGGACGAACTCTATCATATGTTTCGATGAGTACCTTAAGAAATCTGTATTTAATTCGTGTTCCTTTAGAGTTCTTTTTTCTGTTTTATAAATTTTACAAAGCATAAAGTCTATTTTTAGACTTTGAACAAAATCCATTTTTCACCCTGAGATATAAAACAAGTTATATTCTCACTCAGCTTTTAAAACCAGACCGAACACACCCTACGACATTTTCTACTGGATTTCCTAGTTCATATTTTTATTATGCTTAATTTGTTGATGCAAATATATATTACTTAATTTCACCCTAAGCTATAAAACCACTTGTTTCTTTCTTCAACTTTTAAAACTAGGCAGAACATATGCTGGGACATATGTTGCATTGGCTTTCCTAGTTCATATTCTTATTTTGTGTTGGTGCAAATATCAGTTAATTTCACCCTAAGCTATAAAAACTGGTTGTTTTCTTTCCTCAACTTTTAAAACCAGACAAAACACACACATTTATGCATAATTTATAGTGGCTTTTCTAATCCACATTCTTATTTATGCATAATTTGTTGATGCGAATAATTAGGTCAACAACCTTGAAACTCACCTAGCTAATTGAAAATTTTGAAACTCACATGATTGAATTTCATACTAGTGAAAAAAAACCATTGTCACCTTCTAACCGGCCCAGCAGTTTAACTGGAATTAAACCATCACCGGGTCGATCAGGAATGGGGTGTACTGGTTGAGAATCAATGCCTGGTTAGCACGTTGAACGTAGTACATGCTTATAGCCATCAGAATCATCACTTCGCTTCTGAATTAATGAAAGGAAACATATAATGTACATGTTTTGTATGAGCCACTCTTCAACCACCCGGCCTACTCTTCACACTGACGGACCGGTGAGGTGACCCGAGAGGTCAACCGGCCGGGTCGCTCACCTGGTCCGACTTTTTTTACTTGCATTATGTGCCTAGTTTTGAAAGTGAAAGGTGAAAATAACCGGTTCTGCAGTTTATGGTGAAAATTGAATTACGAGCAAAGTTCAAGGGCAAATGTTGACTTTAACGTTTTATACACCTATAGATAGTTTATAGTTTTTACCGTAAATCATGTAGCTTCATGATATTATGGCTTACATATAATTATAAAGTCTCACAAATAGTTCCGTTCAACGTACTCTTGTATTAATTTTACCTTCTACATATGAATAGGTATCCCGATGATCCATACGACCGATACTGGTGGAAGATGCGGTCTGACCCAACGTGGAAGAACCTTTCCACGGCATCCACCATAGAACAGAATGACAATTTCGTTGTGCCCTTGCCTGTTATGCAGACCGCCATCGAGGCAAGCAACAACGATACCATAATCAAGGTCACACGAAAAGATAAAACAGCCCACAAGTGCATGATATTCGCGTACTTAGCAGACTTCCAAAACAGCCAGCTTCGACAATTCAATATCACCCTCAGCGATACCAAGCCATTGCTGTACAGCCCGCCTTACCTATCCGCTGGCATTGTGGACATCAGCGATTGGGACATGCCCAATAATGGCATGTACACCATCACTCTTGAGCCCACCTCTGCGTCCAAGCTGCCGCCCATGTTAAACGCATTTGAGATCTACACTCTCATCCCCAGTGACAATCCAATGACGTTCCCAAGAGATTGTAAGCATTCTATATATTTAGTCCCTTCTCCGTTTTCTCTGGTTTAATGTTTATACTTGTGCATACTTGATACATCTTTGTTAAAGTTGATCACCGTTGCCCGAGTTTGGTTCCTAGTCTAAAAAAAGGCCTTGTTTCTGTTGTCTCCCAAATGATAGGTTTGGGACCAATTAATGAACAAACAATGAAATAAATGAATCTTAGGATCCATATCCATGTTAGTTGTTTGGTTCAATGATGAGACGAGGCCTTTTTTAAAAAAAGATTGATGAGGGTGGATGATTGAGATAAGAGCAGTAAAATAATAATTTATGCCAATTGAGGGATGGGCTCATCCAACATCTTGTTGGAATATTCTCAAGTGGGTGGCCATATCCCACACTCGCCCATGAACCACGAACACCGTGAAAAAGTGGTGGCCAAATCCCATAAAACAAACAACCCTTAAATTACATAAACACGTATGTACGTTCTAGAATTTTCACTAACTTTGGATAGAGATTTACTCTTTTAAAAAGTTGACCATCTTCTTCTGTTGGTGGCTTTGGTTAATGTGCCTTCTCTTTATGATTTGTTAGTTCCTGTCATTCTTGGACTTTGAGCCAAAAACTGCATAATAAGTGGTTGTAGTTTCTGTTAAAGCAAAGGTCGGATTTAATCTTATTCATTATCTAAGAAAAAAGACATTGATGCTTGTCACCATCTCTTTGTGCGTATGTTAGGGATGCATTTTTAGGTGTGATATTTGTAATAAGAATTTGATTTGCCAAATGAACCTGGATTCCGTAGCAACATGAAGCACAGTGATATATATAGTGGTGGAGTCATTAGTTAACGACCCCAGTTACCAGAATTTTAGTCTTGAGCTAATTCCCTCATGGCATCTTTCCTAGTCCCCCCATGTTGCGCTTCAGGTGCTCTGTCAAATAGCTGTTAAGTTTTACTCACATGTTAGTTGGTCTTTCTTGTTAATGTTTGAATATGGTAAATGGAAAGAGTGAGGTTAGCCCTATCTGAAATATACCAAGAATTCTTCTTCTTGAATCAGTGTGTTTATCTTTGTACTTTAAAAGCAGAGTCGACGAGTCATCCTCATTTCCTTCTTACCCATTCCCACATGTATGTTATTACCTTAAAACGTCCCCCTTCCCTTTCCACCCCATTCCCACGTATAAAAATGCCATGAAAAGAAACCAAACAACAGAAAAAATAGCTAAAAAAACAAGGATCCAAAGAAATCGAGAGAAAGTAAAAACAATTGGCTAAGAACACGTTTCCAAAAAAATCAAGACAAAAACCGTTCCGAAAAACCGAGGCAAAACCCGCTCAAAAAAAACAGGATCCAAAAGAACCATAAAAAAAAGAGAGAGGAGAAAATTTGAACAATGTTCACCTGAAAAACCAAGTGAAAATACTGGAGAAGAGAAAAAACTAAGCCAGTTTCACCAGATCCTGTCCTGTTGCAACATACACCGAACCTGTTACTGGTTTATAAAAGGTGTCAGTTATTTTGTTAATTTTTTCATTCGTTCCTGTGTTGTTGTGCAATTTAATCAATTGTTGTCCTAAAAACTCCTTTTCCTATGCTAGTTGACATCATCATGTCAATTAAACTCGAGTATGGAATAAAAAAGAACTGGATGGGCGATCCATGTTTTCCTGCAGCCTGGGACGGCGTGAAATGCAGCAATCCAAGTGATAACACTAGCAGGATAATATCTTTGTGAGTATGATTCAAAATATAATGCCTCTACCAGTATTACAACATAAGATTTAGTGCCTTTGCCTTATGTTGGAATCGTTGGATCATATGAAAATTTAATGTAGGGATCTCTCCAACAGCAACTTGCACGGACCCATATCGAATAACTTCACATTGTTCACGGCACTAGAGCATTTGTAAGTATACATAGTGATTGGTTATGTTTTAGGCATATTTCATTGAGATTCTTTTGAACTCCACATTCTTTAAATTGCTTATGTGTTGTGTTATATTTTTGGACAAAATCTGTGTTCAGCTTGCTATAACTGCTTAGACCACCTGGCAGGTTTGCGCTCAGTTGAACGTGTCCCGATCTGTTTGGGTGTAACTTAGTTCAAGGATCTTGTCCAGATAAACTTTTATGGGTTTTCTGATGTAGGAGTAATTCAGTGTGGTGCTGGTCTGAAGCAGTTGCGCCCTGCAGCTACCTGCTTTTCTTCAGCAATATTGCTGCTCTAATATGCACTTTGGTTCTCTGTTTCTTAATAAATTTAGGCTGTGTTAATTGCTAGGAGTTGGGAACAAATCTCCTACGCACGCAAAACTGAGTGGTTCATTAGTACATCTAATTAATTATTAGCTATTTTTTTAAAAAATGGATTAATCTGATTTTTTAAAGCAACTTTTGTATATAAACTTTTTTAAAAATTCAATGTTTAGCGGTTTGAAAAGTGTGCGCGAGAAAAAAAGAGGAAGACAAGTTGGGAAAGCTTGGAAAATAACTCACCCAAATAAGTTCCCAACTCACTCATCTCTTTTTTCGAACGCACGCTTTTCAAACCGCTATACGGTATGTTTTTGCAAAAAAATTATATACGAAAGTTGCTTTAAAAAATTATATTGATCTATTTTTTTTTCTAAAAAAGCTAATATTTAATTAATCAAGAGCTAATGGACCGCTCCGTCCTCTGTGTAGCACAGATTAGTTGCCAACACCCGAATGCAGAGGGTTGCTTCTCGGTCCAGTTTAGACCATGCTTAAACCAAATGATCAGCTAGCTTTCTATAACCTAGACAATAGTTGTGTTGGCGGTCATAAATCATCCCGCAGCTTGGTAGAGTGCAGCCTTTTTTTCGACAATGTGAACTTTTGAGCTTGCAAACCTAGTGCTACTCCCACTGTTCTCGTAAAAGAAAAGTTTGACCTCCCTTTGAGATTTCTATATGGATAAATTTAGTTGCTGAGTGTTACTAGCAAAGCACACAGTTGCCCAAAAAACTAATTTTATTGCCTATAAGATGAAGAAAGGCACATTACTAATGTCTAAACTTCATGTAACCACAGGAATTTGGCAGGCAACCAACTGAATGGACCAATTCCTGACTCCCTCTGTAGAAAGAACAATACAGGGACATTCCTTTTGAGGTTTGGGCCTATATATTGATGTTTCTCTTTCTATTATACATCGAAAATTTAGAATATTGCTTTTCGTTGCACTTTGGGCTGGTGACCATTATTGGAGACTGCTTTTGCCACAAAAAGTGACCTCATTTTCTTATGTGATTTTCAGCTTTGATTCTGATAGAGATACATGTAACAAATCAATACCTGGTATAAATCCATCTCCGCCAAAAAGCAAAGTAAACAGAGCAGCTATTTTAGCTATTTCGGTAGTGGTTCCTGTGATGGCAATTGTTGTTCTTGTACTCGCATATTTGATCTGGAGACAGAAAAGAAAGCGTGACAGTGAGTATGCTCTGCTTTTGTTAACTTGTTTTGTCTTGTATAAAATTACTGTTTATTACGCATTATATTTCTTTCATATAGCTGGTATTTGTTGGAATAGTTTCTGCAGATGTTCCTCACAGTGAACCAGAACTTGAGATTGCTCCGGCAAGTAGAAAATATCATGAGGACGGCCTGCAAAGAGTTGAGAATCGCCGATTCACATACAAGGAGCTTGAGAAGATAACTAATAAATTTAGTCAGTGCATTGGACAAGGAGGTTTTGGACTCGTGTACTATGGCTGTTTAGAGGATGGTACTGAGGTTGCGGTAAAGATGCGTTCTGAATTGTCATCTCATGGACTTGATGAGTTTTTAGCTGAGGTACTGAATTCACCTAGAATAAAAAGAGATCTTAGGACCCTAATTTGTCTTTACTTACAAGTAAATGTAGCTCAGATTTATTATTTCCTTTGTCGGAGAAAAATGTAAAGTAATTGCTTAGACTTGTTGCATTCACAATGAGATCACTATGTGTAAATTAAGAGATTTACTCTATGTTTTTTAATCTCATTTCACAGGTGCAAAGCTTGACAAAGGTGCATCACAGAAATCTAGTTTCTTTGATTGGTTACTGCTGGGAGATGGATCATTTAGCACTGGTTTATGAGTACATGTCTCAAGGCACTCTCTATGATCATCTAAGAGGTTTATAGATTGCAAACTTAACCCCTGTTCTCGAATTGTTCTGAAGGCTAGTCTTGTTCAATGGCATAACACCTATACACTATATTTGAAATGAGAGGGCATCTTGAATGACTTTCTAATGATATCTATTTTTTAATATATAAAAATATGAACTTACCTTTTTAGGGAATATTTGCATATTTCTATTCCAGTTTATTGTACTAATTGGTAAAATTTGTTGAAACTGGCATGGATTACGCGATTTCAATTCTAAATTATGACTTGTACATATATTAAGGTAATAATGGTGCACGTGAAACTTTGAGTTGGAGAACGCGTGTTCGAGTTGTGGTTGAAGCTGCACAAGGTATGCTGCAAACAAAGCTTATGGTTGTGATACACACACACTTGCCTTGGAATAGGTAGTATGGAAATTTTAAATTTTGGAATAGCCTAAAAGGAGTAGTTGGAATTGTTACACCGTAACATTAATGGTGCCGATAAATTTATCATCAAAAGATACAAATAAAACTTCGAATAACAAATAACTGTAAAAGTAATGACATAACATGTCCAGCACACATGGATTCACACTTCTTACTCTTTTTTTTCTTGGTATGATATTTTAAATATAGGCCTGGATTATTTACATAAAGGTTGTAGTCTGCCAATAATTCATCGGGATGTGAAGACCCAAAACATTCTCTTGGGTCAAAATTTACAAGCTAAAATAGCAGATTTTGGACTTTGCAAGACTTATCTAAGTGATACACAGACTCATATATCAGTGGCTCCAGCTGGGTCAGCAGGTTACATGGATCCTGAGTATGTATACTTTTGTGCATACGTTTACATTTCATCCAGTATCATATCTAGATTAATAAACTTTTGCACTATCTTATGAGTTTATCATGTTGAGAAGTAGTATTAAACTGACAAGATGATGACTCGATATTCTGTAATGCCCGAATGTTTCATCTTCATCATTTATGCATAATTCAGATTGTTTCATCTTCATCATTTATGCATAATTCCGATTTTTTTTATCATTCATTTGTAGGTACTATCACACTGGCAGGCTTACCGAGAGTAGTGACGTCTATAGCTTTGGTGTTGTTCTGCTAGAGATAGTCACCGGTGAGTCTCCCATGCTACCGGGATTAGGACACGTCGTTCAACGGGTGAAAAAGAAGATTGATGCTGGTAATATCAGCTTGGTTGCTGATGCACGGCTCATAGGTGCCTACGATGTCAGCTCTATGTGGAAGGTTGTGGACATAGCATTGTTGTGCACTGCTGATATTGGTGCCCATAGGCCAACGATGGCTGCTGTGGTCGTGCAGTTGAAGGAGAGCCTTGCATTGGAGGAAGCTCGTGCAGACAGTGGCTTCAAGGGAAGCATAGGGACACTGAGTGATACAACAATTTCAACGTCCACATTTGGTCCATCAGCAAGATGAAGCTGCAGCTGTTCCTGTCTTTTCTGCATCGCTGATTGTTCTCCGCTACAGCTGGCCTTGATGAACTATTTGTCCTGTGAAGAATACTCATATCTATATATGGGCTCATGTATGGATTAGTTTGCTTTTATGTGTCCGCAATAATAAGGTACATGTCAATTATCATGCAGGCCGGCCCGGCCTTCCTGGTTCTGTGTTAAGAGACCTTCTTCCAACCAAATGGCCTCAAGCATGCTTAGTAATGTGTACTGGATTGGCTGTGCTACTGCATTTTGTTTGATTTTCTATACATTGTCCAGATGAAGTTCTTATATTGACTTTGCAATGTACTATGCATCCTTGTTATAGCCTCGTTGGAGTTGTGACATTTCCTGCTGCAGTAGGTGGTTTCTAGTCAGTAGATTCAGCACAATAACCTGTAATTGTTCTACGATTTATTGAGAGAAGTTATCATTTGATTGGCGCTTCTATTTTCACACCATACATGTGCCAAGAACTCTTTGTGTCCAGTTAGCTTTTAAAGGTGTGATTGAATTTTTAGCCGGGAAATTAAAACACCTCATAAAATTCTTCAAAAACTATATTTAGTCATCTTTATCAATATAGTGTGGTAAAATTATTTCGCATGAGATGCTATCTACAGTAGAAGTTGGAACCTCTAGATACTAAAGCGGATCAACATGCAAATATCCCACATTATCACCCACTAGCAATTATTATTCCAAAATATTATAAAGCACGTGCATGCATGACACATCATCTATAATTTATTATATTTTAAGTTCTAACATGTAAGCATGTGAATAATTAGCTCACATAATTTTCACAATTTTTCAACATATATCCATCTATAATTTCTATAGGGGCAATTGCATCTATACCCCCACTTTGAATCCCAACTGCTGTTTTACCCCCCTTTTTAGGGTTTGCAACTTTACCCTCACTTTTTGAAATTGAATCCAGCAGGCTACCCCACTTCTAACACCTAGTTTGACGGTGTTAGTTCTAGAGCGGCGGAGGTCTTCACAGTGGTGCACCATCAATGGAGGTGTTCACCAGCATGGACGAGGGGGGCACCGACGGCGGTGCTGTCGACGGAGGTGTGCAGTCGCTGTCGTCGGATGGGAGTAGCCACCACGGGGGAAGCACCGCGGCTACAGCCTGGCTACCGCCGCGACGGAACACTAGCCCACACCCGCCGCCGCCGTGTGCGCCCTCGCCGCCGCTGCGCCGCACGCTCACCCGTGCTGCTGCTGCCGCGCCTCATGCACGCCCGAGCAGCCGCCGCCGCCGCCGATAGGTTAGGTTTCGGGTTCACACGCATGGGGTGTGGAGGGGAGGGATTTCAGTCCCTATCCATTCACTCAGCGGTACAATGGTAAATTTATATTACATAAAACATTTTTTTATTTCAATTTGTATTCTTTAACAAAAAAAACGTGGGACCCACTAAACGGGCGTTAGAAGTGGGGGTAGACTGCTGGTTCAATTTCGAAAAGTGAGCGTAAAATTGCAAACCCTAAAATGTAAGAGTAAAACAAAAATTGGGTTTGAAAGTGAGGGCAGAGATGCAATTGCCCCATTTCTATAATATGTAACATACACTCATCTATACATTCCACAACGAACCATGGGATATCAACTTTGTATTAAATGCAGGCGCTGCCTACGAGCACTCTTTGAATTTGAAAAATGGTTCATTCGTATTCCTTATGAATGCATGGACTACTTTGAAAATCACATGCACCAAAATGCAAAGAAGTCCATGATATCTCAAAAACACCTGAAAGGACTCTAAGGTGAATTTTAAAATGCTTGACACAATTTAATTTAAGGATTTGAATATTGGGTCTGGTACAGCTTTAGCTCTCAAAATTTTTGCTGTTGTATCAAAAAAACACATGTACAAATTTACTTATCTGAAATTTGTAATATACCTTAACATTTTACCTCTGTATGATTTGCGATATATTTCTGATTAAGAACAATACGTATTCCTCGCCAAAAAAAGAGAAGTGAAGAATAATTTGTGGTTGTTGATGCCTTTTTGTTCATGGCGCAACACAAGAGCTAGATCTATACATAAAGCTTTGCAGCGTATAGAGTCACCAAGCATCTCAATCTTAAAGAAAACACCTCATCAAGATGGGTTTAGAACATCAAAACCGACGAGCAGAGCCGATTTACAAGAATAGGGATAAATTAACACTCGTCTCATGGTCGGAACGGAAGGTTTTGGGGACAAACCTACAAAGAGAACTCACATATTTGTGGCGAAGATAGACGGCTTGTAGCGCAAACAGACGAAGATGGACGAAATAGGCTAAAAACTAGGCGAAAAGTAGATGCAATATTGAAAGAACGATTCAATTAGCTTTTGTGTTGGTTATAGGTTGTCTCTCAATTGAACCGGCCATGCCCCTTAAAGGTATTGGTCTTACCTTTTACAGGGACCTCTTCATATTCCACTAGGTGCAACAATTAGGACTTGAAAACCACAACCCAAACAAGAAAACCCAAGAACTAACAAAATTGGAGTCAGAGTCAGACTCTGTCAATCTGACCAGACATATGTCGTCGGTCTGACCGGCCCTAGGCCACCAGTCAAACCGGCCGTGCATGGCAAGCCCGGGTCTTTCCAAATTTGGTCATATTTTCCTACTTCTCTCGTTAGGTGCCAAATGTGTTAGCAGTAGTTAGTAGATTCAGCATATGAATGGTGATTAACAGTTTTACTACGGGTAAATCAATAGATGCATCTTTTGTTTGTGTTTGATGCTTCAAAGAATTGTGTTGTAGAAGGGTATGAAAGGTGATTGATGCGAACACACTCATGAAGGGTGGCCTGATCTTCACGACAGTAGGATCAAAATCAAAGATAACTTGCTGTAGAAAACAATGGGTAACTAGTTTTATACCTGCCAAGGTTGGATGCGATCAAGCAACGGGGAGAGAGACACCGAAACCGTGAGGACATTGACTCGATCTCCGAACGACCACAGAACTATAATCCGGGACTAATCCACACAATACGGTGCAACCGAACTAGAACCCGTAGAGCACGAACTAGGGGAGTTCAGAGAGATCTTCCTCACAAGTCCAAGAAGAACTCGCAAGAAAAAAGGAGTGTAAGACACTCAAGCAGCTCGGCTGCAAAAACCATTCAGGTTGTCAAATTATCAAAAGTTGTTTTCTGGAAGCACATAGGGGATATTTATACTAGGAACAACCCTCCTAGATAGGTATGAAAAGTCTTGGAAGTTTGAAGGACATAGGCTAGCCCAAAGGTCTCAAAAAGTGAATTCCCGAGAAGACTCACGCGTCTATTTGGCTTCTGAGCAGCCTCCAGTAAAAATGTCATTACTCCTTATTGGAAAGTCCAAATGACATGGGGTCAGTTTGGAAAGCTAACTTAATAAGCTTTCACACCATGTGCATAATGCACTACGAAATATTGTAAATTGATACAGTTTTGCATGGAAAGTTGAATGTCTTGGCAGACTGTTGGCCTTCGGAGCAGTGTCCACTAATCTGGGCATAACTCTTTAGTGGGAAATTCAATGGACGAGTGGTTTTGTGTGAAACTAGACTCAATAAGCTTTTCAAAAAGTGCTCATTCACCTTCATAGCTTTTGAGAATCAAAAGTTATGATGATTTCTTAAATTGGTCCGTTTTTCACTGTAACGGTTTGATCTTCATGGTCCGATTCAGCTTCCTCTTGTTGCATATTCTTAAGCACAACCAAAGTAGAACATTTTGGTAGTATAACATTCTCATCTATAGATGCATCAAATGTAGCAAGGAGTGAGTTCACCTGCTGTTGTAGTTTCTTCGCACGACTTCACGTAATCGGTCCTTCCATTACTTGATCACGTGTAGCAGTAGTTGAACTTGGTATAGTCAAGACTTGGATGTCCTCATCAGTAATAGCATTTTTCCTGATGGTGACACTCTTTATATCTTATGGTGATACTGTTGAAATGGGTCTTTGGTCCAATTCATTTGCGTAGTTCCAAGACCTACCTATACATTATATATCTGTCAACAAATTTTCTCCCAAAAAAAATATCAGATATAAATAGTGCAATCTTATTATAATTATATTGTAATTTTCATGTAACTTACATTGTATGCAACTTTTCAAAATCTCATGGTAACACGTTATTTTTCCGAAATGGAGGTCGTGGAACCAAATCCTCTTACTTGTGCATGTGCTGTGATTTCTTTTCTTCCTTGCTTGCACAAATGTTGAATCAAATCAAATGGTTTTTGTAGTAAACCTGTGATAATTCCAGATTTAGAGGATAAACTTCCAGAACAGAGGTAGATTCTCAAATGTAATCATTATAGAAAAAACTTGTTCAAGTTTCAGTGAGCAGCACCAGATCTTTGTTATAGAACTAATGGCACCAAGTCTTGCACTATTTTTAATTTTCTCCTAGATAAAGATTAAAATTTGCAAATCTGTTTTGTACAAGTCAAATCTTGCTATGTGAGTACTACTTTTGGGATGAACACATCATGATTTGTCTAATTGGATAATGTATACAGAGAAAAAACAGGTAAATTATTGAGTTCATATTGTATATTTACTCTGGATATATATATATATATATATATATATAAATACTACTACTAGATGCTGGGAAGCTACTGGGTGCTGAAAACTCACGGCAACAGAGAAAAAACTCTGGGTAAACATGCTTACCGAGAGCAGCCTCCCGGTAACACACAGCCGGCAGCTTCACACCTTTACCGTGTGAAGTTTCCTGTGCAGTAGCATTTTTGTGCCCGGGATGATGCCAAAATTTACCGTGTGAAAGCAAACTCCCGGTAACAATCCAGCGATCAGCACAGGAGTACAGATGGACGGAACAGGACGGAACGGGACGGAACGGGGCATTACTGAGAGGTAGTAACTCACGGGAAGTAAATCAAAGTTACCGAGAGGAAATTGCTACCGTGTGGGAGTGTGCACGGTAACATGAGTAATGTTACCGAGAGTTTATTTGAGATTTACACCCAGTAACGTTGTGCACGTGATTTTATATAATATGCACATATTGAAAATAGTACTGCACTAGCTGATATGAGGCAAGCAACAGATAAATAAGCATGTTTCATTCAAACGAATTGGCACCACATAATAATCACTAAACGCAGCAGATCAATAAGCATGTTTCATGCAAACAAATTGGCACCACATAATAATTAGTGAACATTAGTGCAGATTCTCAGTGCTAAGAAGAACATGATATGAATATATCCACCAACTAGATACACATGATGCCATAGAAACTACAATGGTTCTTACACCTCTCCTAGGGAGGCAATAAACACTAGTGGCTGTCTTAACCGGATTGATGGTAAAAATAAACTCCAGTCCTTTGCCATAGCATTATATGCCTGAAAGTATGAAAAAATAAGTTAGCTGTCAAATAATATTACAGTACACAGTAGTTTATGAAAGCTCAGTCATGGGCAATTTGACAAAAATAAATATGTATTTGCAGATGTAGGATATAACAAATTGGCAGTGTGGCCTCCAATTCAGAAGTGAGGTCTTTACCTTAGAAATATTCATCATATAAGATATCTCTATTGGTGGGATATTCATCATCTTCATTGGATGAGTCAGCATAATAAGACTCGTCATCATCGTAGTTGACATCTTGAATAGATGATCCATTGAGAAGCTCCAAGTCCTTGCCATTGCAAATATCTTCAGTATCCCTACTGCTGGCAGCCTCTTCAGAATTATTATCAAAGTTCAGACCAAGATCAATTACAAAACTGCCAAGCAGGCCATCTTCTTGGAAATAGTGGACAACATCAGTGTTGGGGACAAAATCATAATCTTGATCAGTGGGTACTTCTAATCTACCAATTGGCTGCACCTTATATACAACCCACCAATTAGTGAGATCTTGTACAGATTTGCATGGATATGGCATGTAATACACTTGTGTCGCTTGATGAGCTATAACAAATGGCTCAAACTTGGGAAGGATTGATGCATGAGCAACTTCAACCAGGCCATATCTTGGCGAGTACCTGACTTGGCTTGGGTCAAACCAATGGCAATTGAAGAGCACAAGTGTGAGAGGTTTGGTGCCATCAAAGCTGATTTCTATTATTTCTTTGATGTAACCATAGTACTCAGTCATTTCATCATTTTCTCCCTGTCCTATAGTCACCAAACCACTGTTTATTGTAGTTGCATTTGGCCTCTCCTGCTCATATTTATGTGTCCGAAATCGATACCCATTTACATCATATATATTATATAACAAGACTCGAGTGTGGCATCCTCTAGCTATTTGCTTCAAATCATCACTCATAGTCTCATCCATCATACTCTACATGTGAAAAAAAATAGGACATAATGTGTCCATAAGTTGGGAATGATAGACCCAATACACAGAGTTTTTGCAGTAATATGTTTTCATGGGGATTACTTTGATCGGTGGCATGAATATTCATGAAAGTTTTTTTTGTTCAACAGGTAGTACAACATATATACACACATGCATGATCTTACAGCAAGCAAAGTAAGGTAGATTTCCTAATCTGATCTGAAAGGATATGCATGGCTAAGGACATTGTCATCTTTTTATTCGATGTAGTAATTAAATTACTTGTCACCATTTTCTTCAGTTTAAATAAAGTACGGGATAAAGAAATTACCTTCTTACAAAACCAAGAAACAAAATTAGGATGATCTCTCCCAGCACCATTCTGTAAGATGTTCTCCTGCTGTTGCCTAGTTGGAACACCTCGTGAAGTCCACTCCTCATCTATAAACTTCCTGCAAGGTAAAAAGACAAGCAGAAGGTAAAATTACATGCAGCTATGAACAAGATGCAACCCATATAAACTTCATACCTAATGTAGTCATCCACTTCAGTAAGATTTGTAAGCACGTACAACATGGTAGCATCCCACTCTTCAGCAGTTAAGTGTCTAGGGACTCCTCGGCTAGTAGAATCTCCCTTAATAGAGAAGAGACTAAGGGAACAATCAGTGGACTGAGCCACATTGTATCGAGGGACAGGATTATGAATTGTCCGCACTTGATCAGCAAAATATATAGATGTGAAATTTGAGATTTCATCTAGTATGTAAGCCTCTGCTATGGATGCTTCAACACGAGCTCGGTTTCTAACTTTGCTCTTAAGATACTTTTGGCCTCTTTCAACAGGGTAGTTCCATCTGAATTGTACAGGTCCACCTCATCAAGTGTTGCATTGGATTGAAAAATCCAGGTGGAAAGATTTTTTCTAATTTGCAAACCAAAACAACTATTTGACTCTCCATGTTTTCCATCTCTATGGGATCGAACTGTTTTGCACAAAGTTTGCGATAAAAGAAGCTCACCTCTGCTAGCACTTCCCACACATGTGTTGGCAAGTAGCCACGAAACATCACTGGGAAGAGACGTTCCATCATTATGTGGTAATCGTGGCTTTTTAACCCATTAATCCGCATGTTTTTCAAATTTACTCCTCTCCTTAAGTTCGACCCGTACCCATCAGGAAATTTCAATGTCCGAAACCATTCCAATATTTCTTTCTTCTGAGTTCTGTTCAAGCAAAAATCCGCTCTTGGTTTTACCCATTGACCAGATGGTTGTTTTTGGACAAGGTTCAACTCAGGGTGGTTACAAAGTGCAGCTTGGTCAAGGCGAGCCTTGACATTGTCCTTCGTCTTGTCTGGGATGTCAAAGCAAGTATTGAATATTGCCTCAGCAACATTCTTCTCATTGTGCATGACATCGATATTATGAGGAAGTACTAGCATATGAAAGTAAGGGAGTCTCCACAAACTAGACCTATGTGTCCAATTGTGACTTTTGCCATAGTCTACAAAACCATTTCCATTAGGAGCAAGGACAAGGCTATCTAACTGAGCTTTTATCTCTCCACCCGAGAGACGACGAGGTGGCTCAGTACTAACAGTAGTGTTTGCCATAAAAGAGTTTGAATCAGTTCTAAAACTGTGATCACTTGGAAGAAACTGGCGATGACAATCAAAAAATGAGTACTTACCCCCATATTTCAACCTTTTTCCTTGGAGCACCTCCATACAGATTGGACATGACATCTTCCCGTGCACACACCAACCACGGAATATGCCATAGGCTGGAAGGTCATGGATAGAATAAAGGAAGGAGACTCGCATGATAAAATTTGTCTTGGTGGCACGATCATATGTCAACACACCTTGCTGCCAAGCATGTATGAGTTCATCAACTAAGGGCTCCATGAATACACTAATATCTTTACCAGGATAGTTCGGCCCAGGAATTATCAAACTAAGGAACATGTTGTGCTGCCGCATGCAAATACCAGGTGGAAGGTTCAGAGGAATGACAAACATAGGCCAGCAAGTGTATGAAGAGGCACCCATACCAAATGGACAGAACCCGTCTGTGGCTATTGCTACTCTAACATTGCGCATTTCCATAGCAAAGGCTGGAAAGTCTCTATCAAACTTCTTCCAGGCTTCACCGTCAGCTGGATGTACAATCTTGTCAGGATGGTATCGATGACCAGTTTTGTGCCATGTCATTTGCTTGGCCTGAGATTCTGACATGTATAGCCGCTGAAGTCTTGGGATGATTGGAAGATAACGAAGTACCTTTCTTGCAACAGTTAATTGTCTCTTCTGGCCCTTACTGTTTTCGACCTCAACATACCTACTCTCTCCACACTTATCACAGTGTGTCTTATGTTCATTCTCCTTCCTAAAGAGCATACAATTTTTAGGGCATGCATCTATCTTTTCATACGGCATATTCAAAGCACTAAGGAATTTCTTTGCCTCATACAAGTTGGGTGGTAGCTTATGCCCTTGGGGGAGGAGAGCACAGACCACATTCAAAAGTGCATCAAATCCAGCAATTGATATAGCATACTGAGACTTCACTGCTAGTAGTCGTGTGGTAGCATCAAGTTGTGATACCTGTGTATGTTCGTGGAGAGGTTTAGTCGCTGCAGACAACATTTCAAAGAAAGATTGCGCTGTGGGCTCTGGATCTTCCTCCTCAACTGAGACATAAGCATCTCGGATATCATCCACCATATCATCCATCCGATTGATGTCCACAACCCTATCTTCATCTTCAGTGCTTTCACATACCACCTCTTCACATGTAGGGTGTGTCTCACCATGATACACCCACACAGTATATTCAGGCCTGAAACCATACTTGCAAAGGTGTTTCATCATCACATCTCTTGTTTGGGGACGTGTGTTGTTGCAGTAGTTACAAGGGCACAATACATCAGCACAGCGTGTGTCCCGACTGAATGCCATGTCAAGAAATTCTGTAGTCTTCAAAATCCATTCAGCAGTAACCTCGCCGCGGTTTCGATGGCCCTTGTACATCCAATTACGATCAACTAGCATTGTACCTGGTTATGACAAAGTGGCAGAACGATTTTTCTGTTAGGAAATGCATGGCTGTTATTTTACTGCAATACTATTCTTTTACTTCAATATTGTCTCAATTTTACTTTTGATGACTTAGAAATAATACATCGAGCATCACCTGACAGATAAGCTGAAACTCAGGTTTTCAGATGTGGAATTTGCAGCAGTTTATATATATATATATAGTAAATTTGTTTGGTGCTCCATGGTGCCCGGGCACCATGATTGAAATTTACTATATACCCAATTCAAATGAGTATGAAACTTTTTCAAATATTTAGGTATTAACGTTAACTACTTTACTAACTAGTTCAAAGCAAGTTTGAACTGAATTCAAACTTGCTTTTGTTAGATTTTGATTCTAGGTATATAGCATCCAAACATATAATTAGTTAGGTATGTAATAATGGATTGTGAAATAAAGTTAAATTTGAGTTGTTTTGTTGCTAGGTATAGGTATGAATCGAATACTTATAAGTAGGTATATACTCACAATTTGAAAATTTTGAAAAATTTGGGCGAATTTGTGTATTTCATACCATGGTGCCCCATATGAGTGTCCTATATATATATATATATATATATATATATATATATATATATATATATATATATATATATATATATATATATATATTGTTCCAATTTTTGTTTTCCAATTTATTTTGACAATTGAGATCCCCCAAGTACAGCCGAAACATACCTAACCCATGCTAGAACTGATCCCAAATCGAAAAGATGATAACTTGAACTGATCCCAAATCGAAAACAATTTAACTTGAAGGGTGAAAGAGGAACCTGAGGAGAATGAATCCGTGGACAGGACTGTTCGATGAGCAGGCAATCCTCGCCTATGCCTGTTGATGCCCTGGCGGAGCCGGCGCGTCGAGGGAGGCAGTGAGGCGTGACGCTAGGTCGATGGAGATGCGCGGCTCCCACGGCAACCTTCAACCAGACGGGGCGCGGCGCGACGGCCGTGTGGCGGTGGCCACCGGCGGCGGCGGCTGTGGTGCGACGGCCTTGCTGCGGTAGCCCGGCGGCGGCAGCGGCTGTGGCGGGGAGGCAGCGGCGGCGGCGGCGGCTGTGGAGGGGCGGCGGCGGTGGTGGCGGCGCGGCAGGTGGGTCTATGGAGGCCGGAGGGGAGGCATGCCGATGCGGATGAGAGGAGTAACCTAGCCCGCGATTTTTTTGGGGGGACGACAACCCTAGCCCGCCATATTTTTGGGCGCGCGGTTTCTGATATGCGGGCAGCGATACTAATAGTACTTGGTGCTTTTTTCCTCCAGATGATGATGATGACCCCAGCCCGATTTAATCCACTAGGATTTATTTCTTGTATAATATAGACAAAATTCATTCAATTTTCAAGCTTGGTCTGAAACTTTTGTTAAGATGTCTACTTAAAAAAATATTCCCATATATTTGAAAAATAATAAACTTTGGCTCTTTAACACTAATGAAAAATCATTTAATGAACACACGCAATTTTTACTAGCGGATACTAAAAAGCACCGCCTAAAAGGGATGACGATCCGTACCTCGGGGGCTCCGCCCCCGCACCCCTGGGCGTCCGCAGGTGGACAGCCTCCGGCATCTACGGGCCTTCGCTTCGCTCCGGCAGAAGCTGGCCTTTATTAAGTGCAAATGAATATGGATCACAACCCAAGCATATTCTCCCTTAACCCTCATTTAATTGAGAAAATATGATCCATAGCATAGGAAAACTAGTGGCTAGCAGAGAACTCCCGCCGGCGAAGGCCAAGGTAGACGGGGCCGGTGGAATACAATGCTCTATGGAGAGGAGTAAGGGCAAATATGACGGGAGTGCTACGAACAAAAGAAAAACTAGTGGCATGTGGTTCTAGTCTAAAGGTGGAATTTTTTGTGCTATTTTTTGGTTCCGATCCTTTTTTCAGTGATATGGATTGAATTTTCTCCATTCAATTCCGCCCTTAACCCTCCAGCGTTCAGCAGCCACAACGAAAACCGGTCGAATTCCACAAAATTTTGAGGTTTCGATGAGGCTTGAAAGTAAAAGCCGTCAAAGGTTTCGATGAGTTTCATCCAAATTCAAATTTATATTGATAAAAATGGAAAAAAATCAAATAAAATCTTTTGAATAGTATGATATTTATTGAACCTATTGGATACAAATTTTTGAAAAATAAAAATGATGTATTCCGTGTATTTCCTGAAATTTACATGAGAAAATCTCGGAATCGTAAACTCTAAGGGTGACGGTGGCCACGGCGGCGAAGGGATCCGATGGAGATAACACAAATTGGCCATAAAAAACACTTCGTAGTAGTGTAATATATGAACTAGAGAAGTGCATTTGGTAAGCAAAATTTATTTATTCTTTAAATTTACTCAAATTTTTCTTCAAACTTTGAGCCTATTTTGAAGGGAATTTTTACCATCCTTTTTGACCTCGCACTAGCAGGTACCAGTCAAGGGGTATGATTTGTATGTTGGATCTAATTATTAATGACATGAGCTTACGCAATGCATGATCACCAATTTTTGCTTAGGCGGAATTCGACGGTACACTAATCGGTGTTTGATGTAACCATTAGCCAAACGAACATAACTTACAATTCACAAGTTCCAGTGCATGCAAATATAGATGACCAAAGTATGGAACTTCCAGTTCACAAGTTCCAGTGCATGCCAACATATATGACCAAAAGAACCGAACTTCCAGTTCACAAGTTCCAGCGCATGCCAACATGGCAACATATATGACCAAAAGGCAACAGGCAGCCAACCTAAGGCAACAGACACAGCGAACATCTACTAGAGTTCCATGTGGCCTAAAGTTCAGGTAAACCTACATAATTAACAAAAGACTACTTAGTGAGACAACCACAACCAACAGCTATCCAAGTTCATGGCCATGACCATCCAGGTCAGTTTAGTTACAAAATATATCCATAGTTTTAGGAATGTACAACTAGTCCGCTGTCATGCTAAAAGTTGACAATTGCACCAGATGCAGCACCAACCCCAACATGGTTGGGGCCTGAGTTTCCATTCGAAGCCACAGGTCCAGACGAAGCCTGTTTTATATTTCAAACCAAATGATTTAATATTAGTCCTCTCATAAGTTAAATGGGAAATAATTACTCATGCAAAAGATATTACAGACTACCATGTATCAAATACTTACTAGGTGAGTCAACATGACAGGTAAGGGAGGTGTGCCTGAAGCTGACAAGTCTATGTTCAGCTTACTTTGTATCACCTGCAATCCATTTCACATGTACACTAGTGAGTGCGACCAACCCAAAATTCAAATTCTATAATGATAAAAACACTACTAGCTGTGTCTTATAAGCAATAGCAAACAAATTCAACTTGACCAAGTAAAGTTATACCACTTACCCTTAAAGCAGCTTCAAAGAATGCTGATTTCTGTTGAGAGGCTATCTTTTCCAACTCCCTCTCCTTGCGCTCTTCCTCCCTCTCCTTACGCTCCTGCTCCTTCTCTCGCGCCCTCTCTTCACGCTCACACTCCTTCTCCTGCTCCTTCTCCTGCCGCTCCCTCTCCTTCTCACGCTCCCTCTCTTCACGCTCTCGCTCCCTTGCCTCGCGCTCCTCTTGTAGTTGCCGCAGAAGGTCTTCAACCTGGTTTGTGTTGTCATGATCTGTCCTCAATCTTCTGCGAGGGCGTTGATCATCACGCGAATTATCACCAAACACTGCTGATGAGTCAATGAGTCCATCACCAATCATGAAACGGCCATGTTTCTTTCCACCACCAGCCATGTGCACAGCGACAGGATCAATGGGAGAAGTGCGCCAATCATTTTCTGGCCCATGCAACTGAACATAAGCTGCAGCATAGGCCTCCTGTTGCAATCAGATCATATCTTAAATTAGTTCTAATGTAAAAAATGATGAACTACGTCTATGATTCATCATCACTCCTGCTCAACTTGCATAGATGATACACGATATAAAATACTCATATATATGCATCAGCACAACATTTGCAAGTTCCTCCACTTATTCCAATATAATAGCAACATGCTTTGCAAAATTTCCAAGTGTATCACCATTTTTGGGGCTCATTGCTAGCTATTCATGCATAAGTGTTTTGACAACCATTACTGACAACACATAATCATGATAAGTAAAAGACACTATCTGATTTGCACCACAAAATATTTAGCACTTACAAGCTTCTCAGCTACACGCGGGTCACAGCTGAATTGTCCATCCTCTCGATTTTCCCTCCTTCCTTCTGTGTAGGCCTCTAGTGGAGCAACTGGCCGCTTTTTCTTCTTCTCCTATATGACATAGATAGAATATAAATTATGTCAGATTTTCTTTGGCCAGAATCTCCTACATGTTTAAACAGAGATGCACATACCAAATTTTTTTGGTAACGGCTCAAGTTAGCACTGCCTTGGCGGTGAGATGGCCCTTTCATTTTCTCCCTCCGTATCCTATGAGCACGTGAGACAGCCTGCCATTTTGGATTACACCACCGCAATCGTATCAACTCCCGCCATGCATTTTCTGAATTCAGGAACCACCATGGTTCTACCTATAGGAGAAGCACAGACATATTCATTAATTACTAATCTATTTAGCAAACAACAATAAATTATAAATGTTCAATCATATCACCTTTAGGTACTCGCTCTCTGTAAGATAAGTTCTGCATGCGATTTCTCTGGAAGTGTTCACCTTCAGGATTTTCCTTTGGTAATTAAGCACAGCTAGGATGCGAGTTTCATAAAACAAGCGATCAACAAGGCCCTTGACACAATTGTGGACAACCTTTCTAGCTTCTTGTTCTTTTCCCTCTGCCCACCTGAAGTAAAGCTGCAGCTATGAAAAGTTAAAGGCCTGCTTGACACTAAAAACTATGGTATTCAAATATTGTGGCATATCGATATTTTACTATCCAAACAGGCCCTAAACTAGGAAAAATACAGATATAATAAAATGTGCGATGTACTCCAAATTAGAGAAGGAAATGTTCACAAACAAACCCAGAAGTCTTCCTCAACACGATGGAGACAGCTTGGCAGCCGTATTTGATTGCTTCTTGGAGTATCCGGCGCTATCCTGTAATGTTTCCAACTCCATGCTGGCTCCTCTTTACCCTTCAATGTGACAATGCCAGGGAACCATTGTTTAAGAAGTAATGTCAGGATGCTATTGGGGACCCTAATGTTGCCTCCATAATCATTTGCTCGCCATTGCCTGTGCATATCAACAAACAGGTAGATCAGTCCTTCATATTCAACATAATGGAAAATACAAAAATAGCCTTTTTACCTGTCTCCTACTGGAGTCAGCACAGGTTTGTCCTCCTCTCGGGTAGGTTGTGGTGGCACACGTGTAGGACCACGAAACCAGATTTCCTCAGATGTTTCTTCCTCCTCCAAAATCTCCTCATCCAAATTAGGAGAATGATTAGGTTGTTGGGAACATGAGGACCTTGTACTGCATCTGGGCAAGGTAGCACCACTCACTGCCTGATCTGAACAATTGGAAGCCTCCCTATTGCCTAAGCTCAAGCGCCGCATATTCCTAGAAAATTAAGGTTTGAAGTATTATATGAAACAGATCAAATGGCAGTACATAGCAGTGCCGCAGCAACATGGTTCATGGTATAATAAAATGTACATATAAGGTTACAAACAATGTAGCAGTTCAGATGATCACAAAATATGGAACGAATCATCCCCATTCAACATCCAGCAACAAGCTAAACAAGTAGGGACGTGGCTAACTCTCAGCCTAACCAATAATATGCATCTATTGACATGTACAAAAATTTGAAAACCGTTTAGTCTGACGCTACAAGGACTCTCACCCACATCATTTTGTAGTTATCAGGGTTTGCTTTTTTATTTACACAGCACTGCAGCTTATTTCATAGCGATCATGGTGTTGATATAAACTAGATTTTCAACTGAGATGCAGTCCATATAAATCAGACAACGAACTCTTTCTGGATTCAGAAAGAAAAGGACGTCTATTTCCCAGAATCAAGAACCATCATTGCATAAGATTCAAGAACCACTCACACACCACGCCGGATAGGAGGATGTAGCTGTGTAATACCTCACCCTGCTCAGTTGCTTCTTGATCGGGGACTGGGGAGCCTTGCTGCACAGCTTGACGAGGATGTACTGGTCAGCGCAGTGGATGCCTGGATGGACGTGGACGTACAGGGCCTCGTAGATGGAGTGGGATGCGACCCCTCGTCGACCGGGGACGCGCTGCCACCCTCGCCGGCCTAGCCGGGGACGCACGGCCGGCCGTGAACGGAGAGACCGAGAGGGGAGAAGTGAAGCGGCGGGGGTGGGGATGGGGACTGGAGAAAGAGGAACGGTGGAACGGGAATCGATCGATTATATAAGGAGTAGGGTTTTGCTGTGCCTCTTGTTTGGGCCCACAGGTGGGCCGTGGCCTGTTCCCGATAGCAATTACACACGAACTCTCGAGAATTTACTGTTCCATGTGCGCCAAAAAAAACACCCCGCGCCAAAAAAAAAAACACCGCGCGCCATCCGCCGATTCTGCCCGCGTCAACGGAAATCACCGCCCGCCAAGCAAAAAAAAAATCCGCGCCAAGCCACGGTAGGAACGGTGGGTCCCATGGTTACCGAGCGGTTTGGCGTACTTTTGGTCTTCCCGAGTTTTTTTCATCGCTAACACACGGTATATTTGCAATCTTACCTGGTGCAACGTGATACTCTCGGTAAGTCACCGAGTACTAGCAAAAACTAACTCCCGGTAACAGGGTGAGGCACACGGCAGCTTCACAAGCTCTGGTACTTGATTGTATTATGTAAAAAGAAAAGATATATATAATAAAAGCGAAATACAGATTTCAGATTAGTTACATGATTTGTATGTAATGTATTCAAATTTTGTATGTACTTGATGCTTCTGTTATTCTTAGTTCATAATTGCATAACCGATCAATTTTCACTTCTATTCACTTCGTTGAGATTATTTCAATTTAAATATTTCATCGATGCAATTTTCACAATGATTATTTTTCCAGATAAATTGTTTCTGTAAGTTGAAGTTGAAGATTGGATTCTACGTGTTGCAAATTAAAGTATATGCTGTTTAGACTATAGTTCAGAATGAAACATCGTTATATTTTGATTGGTGATAAAGTGGTTCTATTCAGATGGATATTTAAATTAAATTACATGTTTCATATATTAAAATTACAGTGAAATTAATATGTTTTTTTTCAAATTTTATATGTAATTTATGCTTCCGTTTCAGTTTCATAGTTTATATTCGAAGAAGCTAGAATGTTTTTACCTGAATTTATTGCTTTTGTTTTCTGTTATAGCTAAAAATGTATCCAATTAATTTGGGCTATCTGAATCTGTTCATGATTTGGGCTCAAATTTTGTTTGAAGATGGCTATGTGATTATGATATTTTTAGATGGCCCTTTGATTATGAAACATGGGCTTTTAAATGGGCATGTAATTGTGAAGAACAATTTCTATTTTATTGTGATTTTGTTTTCAATGTTGTTTTAACATGCCTTGATTTGGGCTTGCGATTGGGTTTGTGCCGTAAAAATGGGATTGGATCGGGGATGGGCCATTCGAATGGTCTAATTACAATTCTGATGGTCCGTTTTGACTATTTGTGATTTTGTCTAATTATTATTTGTTAAATGTTGATCGAAGTGTTAGAAAATCAGACAGATTTGACGTGGTATTTTCTGTCGAATGAGATTCGAGCGGTAAACAATCCCGTTTTGGGTGAAAGTCAAAACAAGGAATGGGAACATGGCTCGTCACCATCGGACTCATGATCAGGCTCATGAGCCTTTGTTCGGATGACAGGGGAAAGGCCGGAATCCTTGCCTATTTCCCGACCTCGAAGTGGAAGCCCACCACAAGGGGAAGAAATCCCAGAATTGCTCAAAAGTTCATTTGGGATGTTATCTGAGGAGCTCGACCCCCTCGTCTTCCTCTCGCACGGGACACAGGGGCAAACCCTAGCCCATCCGCCACCCTCTTCCCTTCCTCTCCTCCCCTTGCCGTTGCCGAAGTGCACCGCCGGAGAGCCGAGCGGCCAGCCGGGAGCAGCGGCGAGGCCAAATACCCGGCTACACTCCCCTCAGCACGAGAGATGGTGACACGGCACGAGGTATAATACGTCGAGTTTCGAATTAGTGTATTTCGGGGAATATTAGAAACAAACATGCAAAAGTTTAACTTTTTAACTGTTGTTCGAATAGGCGATCAGGAATGATGGATGCGTAGAGCTTGTGTAGTGCAAAGAAGACTATAAGTTTGTAGTAATCGGAGTCCAAATGAAGTCCCGTGGATTGAATCAATGTGGACCGTTTGATCTCCTTTCTAGTATCTTTATATACCTACAAGAAAGAAAAAAGGAAAGCGGAAAAAATGAGAGATTGAGAGCCTCTACAACCCTAGCCGCCACTGCTCCTGCGCCCTTGTCGCCGCTGCTGTTGTTCCTGTCGCCGGCGCCGCTTCTTCGCTGCCACTGCTACAGCCGTGGCTGGTCACCGCAGCCATCGCGTCATCTGTCGCCACCGGGGAACCCTTTCTGTTTTTCTCCTTCCCGGTGAGCTCTTGCTGTTGTTGACCCGATCTGTTGCTGCTGTGTGATTTGGTTCCTGCTGCTGCTGCTTCTGCTAACCTTTCCTTGCCGGTGCTGTTGTTGCTCCTAATGCATGGCCTGCTGCTGTTGCTGCTGCAGCGAATCAGAGAGAAGGGTCTACAGAGGTTGTACAGGAGGAAGAAAGAAAGGAAAAGGCAGAGCAACATTGAGGAATTTCAGCGATTTCGCAAATTAGGGAAATTTGTCGCAAGGTAGTGTTCCTCCTCTGCAAGGGTAACTTCCTTTTAGTCCCTAGACATAAAAGATTCAGATAGAAATTGATTCGGTAGCTGTTTGTGCAAATTTTGAAGTTCTTGATTATAGGCTCGAAACCGTATTTTTTCAAATCTGGTATGAAACGATCGGGATTCAGGTTAGGAGTCCTAAATAAAGTTTGTAGTCGTCATCAATATCTTTCTATTGGTTCTTGTTTCGAATGATTTCAATAAACGGTTTAGAAGAAAGAACAAAAACAGTACTGCTGACCAGGCCTGTTTTAGTAGGGACAGTAATTAGTTTTCTTAATCTGAGACCTACATAAGCTTAACCCGATTTTTTCGCCCAACATGAAAGTTGGAGACAATTTTTTCTAAATGACTGAAGTTGTATTATTATCCAGACTCCCTTAGACGATTTGCGAGTTATGAGCAATAAAAGAACTACTATAGGTTGTTTAATACAAACCCATAAAAAAGTTTATATGTTATAAGTTTTGATTTTAGTAAATATCCCTTGTAACTATCATTAGTTGAATATAATTTTACCACATAGGTGTGGAGAGATCTAGTGTGGAACGTGGTTTGTCAGGTTACCGTCAAGGTTAAAGGCAAGTGCATGACGAACTAATTGTGTGATTCATGGATTGTTTGCTCTATATATTTATTTCCAATATATTTCTATGTGATTTGTGACTGCTTAGGTTCAGATTATTGTTCATGCCATTTAGATTTCAAGTTTATCTTATGTTTACGAAGTTATTCTTGTTTCAGTATTCCGGATTTTGGTTTTGGGTAAATAATTCAAGTTCCATGCTTACCATGGATGTGTAATATGGCTTAAATTTGGTTCTTTGTTTCCGGTTTCAATCATTCGTGTTCCATGTGAGTCATGGATGTGCTATCCGGATTTTTATTCATGTTCCTATGGGTAAGCGTTGATCACGCTTACTCGGCTTTGCCTCCAAATGCTAGGATGTATTCACAATTGTCCGGGATAGAAACTACTATTTTCTTTAACTTGGTATTTGAAATGTGTTTTTTTTCAAACAAAGAAAGTTTTCCGTTCAGACTTTATTGCCAATGATGTGTATGCGTGTTTTCTAGTTCCACATTGTACTTGTTGAGTATTTCCGTACTCACTCTTGTGTTTATTTGGTTTTAGGTACACCTGAGATCGGAATGCATGGGGGAAGTAGCACCCTTATATACACATCTATCATCACACTATCAAACTATATTGCATAATGACACTTGAACTATATCCTGGTTTGGTATTGTAATAATCTTTTAGATTTCTATTAGTTCTTTTCCATGGATTATATGGATGGATAGCACTGTGGGAATGATATTATTATTAGTTTAATTTATTACTACATGTTCTTTTCCATGGATTATATGGATGGATAGCGTTGTGGGAATGATATTATTATTACTTTAATTTATTACTGCCTGTCGTGGATGTCTATATTTATAGAGGGGACTCTGTCGAAATTCTTAATGAATTTAAGACTTAGTGTTTTTTGTTCCGTAGTGTGTAGCATTCTAGGTAAGGGGATACCTAGGTGTCGGTGACACGGGACCGGGAGTATCATGACTTAGAGACTTGAGGCAGACACGATCACCCACGTGGCCTAATCCCCTCGGGGGGGGGGGGGGTCGGGCCCGAGGGTGATACGGCCGCCCTTCTCTTTGTCTCCCCGAGGGGTCGGACCGCTCCCGTCTCGGCCCCGAGGGCCGAGGCACCCCGACCCCTTGTGGGTTTTGCGCCGCGTATATGGGGTAGGTGAGCATAGCGGGGCTCACCTAACCACATTTATTGCGGTTTGGACGAGCGCGTCACGCCGCATGTAACGCAGTGCAGCGCGCTCGTTTATCCGGTCTGTGATCAGTCACAGACCGGTCAGATCGTGGGTTAGGTGGCGACAGGCGGTCTGACGCACGCCTCGCCCCATCCCGTCAGGACGAGAGCCTCAAAGCACTCGTCCCTAGCCGGAGCCGGCGTGTTACCTCCTGGAGATGGCACGTTGGTTCCGGTCAGATATATGCCAGGCTTCATCCTAACCATTACAGGCAAGATATTGTATGAAGAAGGGCGAACATGCAGATTGATAAACTGACGCGTGGTGGACAAGAATGACCGATTTGTGACCGGTCTGACACTGGTCATGTCGTCAGCAGACAGCCATGTTCCCACGTCGCGCCTGCTTCCGGCGGAAGTGGAGGTAGGTATGGGCTAACCCATCAGAAGGTCATTCGGACGGCAACCATACAAGTCTCCGTCTGTTTATGAAAAGATAGGATAAGTCCCCACAAAAAAGAGAGAGATGGTGCATGTGGTATCCCCTTGAGGTATAAAAGGAGGACCTTGCCGACGACGGGACAGGAGGAGGAAGAGGAGGTCGGCCCATTCCGACGACGAGGGTCATGTCCTCGCCGTCGAAGGTGCTTCGCTGGCCACCCGAAAGGGGAGGCCTGCGAGCGACAAAAAGAAAGAAGCCGACGCTCCCTGACCTCGGCTACTTGGAAGAGCGAAGGTGGCGCGCGGCCCTTCGAGCCGCGCGCTACCAGCAGAGCCTGCGGCGCTACCATCAGCGCCACGTCCGGGCCCGATCACTCTGCGTCGATGACCTCGTCCTACGCCGCGTCCAAACGCGTGCTGGATTGAGCAAGCTCTCACCAATGTGGGAGGGTCCGTATCGAGTGATCGGCGTCCCCCGGCCGGGCTTCGTTCGGCTGGCCACGGGCGACGGCACAGAGCTGCCTAACCCGTGGAACATCGAACAACTTCGTCGCTTCTACCCCTAAAGGGGGATCGGGTGTCAGGTCTTGGGCTCGGGCCAACCCCGCACCCCCCCGGGCGTGTAGGGTTGGCTGGGGGCTTATCTTTCTTCTCTTCCGTATTTCAATAAAAGCGTTTTCGATTTCCTAAAGGCTGTATCTGTGCTGTTGTTTCCTTTTGAAGGATCTTGACTTGAAATAGGTCACTCGTGTTCAATCCTGCCCTCGGGGGCTCGGGTCGGCTAAAATCGCCAAACGGGGCCCAGAACCGAGCCGTGCCCCGGGGCGTGGTGAACTCCGGGGGGGAATCGGCAAAAACCCACAATCGGGTCACCCATAACCCTCGGTCACCATGCTCCCGGCCTGGCCAGTCTCGACATGTGGATCTCCCCAGGCACTAGCCCCGACCCGAGCCATTTGAGGACTAGGACCTGGGCACGAGCCCTTGTTCAAGCCAAGACACAAAAGGACCGCGGCACAGGCATCCTCGTCTCATACACACAACAAATAGAATTGACACAAAAAATTTCCTCTTTATTTGATTGCAGATTAAATCAGCCTATAACAAGAAGGGGGCCCGAAGGCCTCGGAAGAAGAAGGAAAAGCTATTAAGATTGGCGGATGCCTGGGGGTTCACTCCGACGCGCCCGGGTAGCCGGCCTCGCCGTCGCTGTCGTCCGCACCGTTGTCACCGCACTCCTCGTCGGAGTTGAAGGCAAACGCGAGCCGAGGAGCCGTTCATTATTGTCGGTCGGTTTTCCCTTGCTGATGCGCGCGATTTGCGACCGCCGGGATTCTGCCCGAAGAGAGAGAGAGCAGGGAGGAGAGGCCCCCGAGCCGAACGGCGGCCCAAGGCCCCCGACGGCCGGAGCTGGCCCTCCGCCTGCTTGTCCGACGGTGCCAGGCGCCCCCGACCCCTAGGATGGCCCCGAGGCCACTGCGGGAAGGCCGCACCTATCGCCCTCTGACCCCGAGGCTAACCCTGTGCCGATTCGATCCGGGAGAGAGCAGGGAGAAGAGGCCCCCGAGCCGAACGGTGGCCTAAGGCCCCTGACGACCGGAGTTGGCCCTTTGCCCGCTTGTCCGACGACGCCAGGAGCCCCCGACCCCCAGGACGGCCCCGAGGCCACTGTGGGAAGGCCGCCCCTGTCGTCCTCCGACCCCGAGGTCGTCGGCACAGAAGACGAGTGCGCCCCGCGAGGCCGCTTGGGTGAAGAGCACCCCAGGGATGCGGCCCCTAGCGAAGAGGATCGGCCCCACCGAAAGGTGCAGCGGCCCATCTACTTTGTTATTGAGGCCCTCCGGGATGCCAAGACCCGATACCCTCAGGCCCAGAAGATGCTTTACGCTATTCTGATGACTTCGAGGAAACTGCGCCATTATTTCCAGGCGCATCGGGTCACGGTGGTTACGTCTTACCCCCTCGGCCAAATCTTGCATAATCGAGAGGGTACTGGACGGGTGGTGAAATGGGCAATCGAACTTTCTGAGTTTGATTTGCACTTTGAACCAAGCCACGCGATCAAGAGCTAGGCCCTCGCCGACTTTGTGGTGGAGTGGACCCCAGCTCCCAAGCTCGTCTCCGCCCCCGAGGCCAGCTCGAGCCCATCGCAGCTGCCTCATACCGCCCTCTGGGTGATGTAGTTCGACGGCACCTGTAGGAACCGGCCCCACCTGTCACCAGGCCTTAGAAGTGGCGTCACGCCCGACCGCTTCCCTCGAGGAGGGCGATCGCCCTGGCATAACGCCGGGGGCTACTGTCGGTGACACGGGACCGGGAGTATCATGACTTAGAGACTTGAGGCAGACACGATCACCCACGTGGCCTAATCCCCTCGGGGGGGGGGGGTCGGGCCCGAGGGTGATACGGCCGCCCTTCTCTTTGTCTCCCCGAGGGGTCGGACCGCTCCCGTCTCGGCCCCGAGGGCCGAGGCGCCCCGACCCCTTGTGGGTTTTGCGCCGCGTATATGGGGTAGGTGAGCATAGCGGGGCTCACCTAACCACATTTATTGCGGTTTGGACGAGCGCGTCACGCCGCATGTAACGCAGTGCAGCGCGCTCGTTTATCCGGTCTGTGATCAGTCACAGACCGGTCAGATCGTGGGTTAGGTGGCGACAGGCGGTCTGACGCACGCCTCGCCCCATCCCGTCAGGACGAGAGCCTCAAAGCACTCGTCCCTAGCCGGAGCCGGCGTGTTACCTCCTGGAGATGGCACGTTGGTTCCGGTCAGATATATGCCAGGCTTCATCCTAACCATTACAGGCAAGATATTGTATGAAGAAGGGCGAACATGCAGATTGATAAACTGACGCGTGGTGGACAAGAATGACCGATTTGTGACCGGTCTGACACTGGTCATGTCGTCAGCAGACAGCCATGTTCCCACGTCGCGCCTGCTTCCGGCGGAAGTGGAGGTAGGTATGGGCTGTCCCATCAGAAGGTCATTCGGACGGCAACCATACAAGTCTCCGTCTGTTTATGAAAAGATAGGATAAGTCCCCACAAAAAAGAGAGAGATGGTGCATGTGGTATCCCCTTGAGGTATAAAAGGAGGACCTTGCCCACTTAGAAGGGGGAAGAACGATCCCGGAACGATCGGGGGCTGGCTCGCACTTTGTAGCTTCTTCATACACAGATCCACCAAAACACAGGAGTAGGGTATTACGCTTCTCAGCGGCCCGAACCTGTATACATCGCCCGTGTCTTGTGTGTTTCCACTCTCGCGAATCTTCCACACTCAGACCAGGAGCTTAGAATCTCACCCAGGGCCCCCGGCCGAACCGGCAAAGGGGGGCCTGCGCGGTCTCCCGGTGAGGAGCCCCACGCTCCGTCACTAGGGTATTAGACGCTGTGGGCGGGAATGATGGCGTGGCACGAGGCTGTGGATCCGGCACTGCCATGGCCGGATCTGCCACCCCCCCTCCCCGTGGCTGGATCTGGCGTTGGTGCGACCGATTTTGTCCTGAGGCAAGGCTCGGGTGACGACAGTGGCTGGCCAACGGGAGCGGGCGATGACAGCGTCTGGTTTGCACGGGAGGCGTGGGCGAAGGCAGCGACTGGCTAGCACGGGAGGCGCGGACAACTGTGACGATTGGCAGATGCGGCCGGCGTGGGCAGCTGGCCGGTGGCCGGCGGAAGGAACCGTTGTGCGTGGCAGTGGCGTACGCAATGCCAACAGTGGGAGGCTGGTGAGGTGCGTGGTGAGGCTGGTGCGATGGGACGACGACACGGCTGGGGTGCAACAGCGGTAAGGATGTCGCAGTGGGAGGACGAAGGCGATGGTCGTGCGACCAGGTGACCCGTCGGAGGACACGGGCAGACTGATTGAGGTGACGACGATGGTAGCGTCATGAGGTGGGAGTTGAATGCTCCGGCGAGCTTCTTTCAAGGCATCAGTCCTTTTTGCGGCATTGGCTTGCCACCGCAAGATGGCCACGCTGGATGGGCTAGTGCGGGGAGAGGGGATCCATTCTTCTCTCTCACCCTCTCCATCTCCATCCTAACCATGTGGATGGAGTTGGAGCACGCCAAAGGTTGAGACCCTTCTTTGACGGTTGGCTGGCAGCGAGACGGTCGCGCGGTGGCTGCACGTCGAAGGGGATTAGTTGGTGCACTCTTTGGCGTGGGAGAGTAGGAACTACGGCGAAGGCCTAGCCTTCATGCCAGCAACGGCGACGCCTGCAGGCGCCGCTTCCCCTTGGGGCGTTGCTGAATTTTTTTTTCTGCTCTACCAATGATTCCTTCCCCTTGGGGTGTTGCTGCATTTTTTTTCTGCTCTCCCAATGATTCCTGTAGGTGAAAACCTTGTCCTGTTTCACTAGGATGGGCGACGACGCTCTTGGTGTCGTTTTCTCTTGGAGGCATCATCTTGAAGACCCAGTCCTTTGGGGTGTTGGGTGCTTGTTCTGTTTTTAGTAGTAGGATCAGACATAGACGCGTGATGTGTTTGTATTTTCTATTTTCTATTTTCCTAACTATAATCTTCTAGGACTATAGACTTGTATTTTTTCTGCTATACTAATAGAAACATCATGCTACCTTGTGCGGGTTGTTAAAAAAAAGTTCATTTGAATCGGCCCGGAAAGGTGGGTTTACAGATACATTACCCTCCAAACCATAGGGAAATCCGTCCACAGCCCTACCTCATGGAACTCCACCATTCAACTTGCAGCGGCACGAGCGCCTCGCCTTCTTCTCTCGTCCCAAACATTGGCATCGGCGCCTCCCATGGTGGTCGTTGCCTTAGCAACAGCCAAGCAGTAGATGCAGTGGGTGGCGAGCCCTCTTCTCCACCTCCTTCTCTTCGTTCTTGCGCGTTTCTCTCGGTCGTGCGTTGCTTCGGTTCGGAGGGTATCTTTTATGGTGCAGCCGGGAGGTGTGCCCACCTCATCAATTCATCTCCGCTGGCCGTGGCTGTGGTTCTCCTTGCACGGCCAGGCCTCCTCGAAGGTATACTTCTCGGCCTCGAAGTCCTCCTACTCCATGCTGTGGAACTGATAGCAAGAACTAAGCCAACTAGAGGAGGGGGGTTGAATGGTTGTAGTACCCAAAAACCAAAACTTTTGGTAGAATTAAAAGTTACCCTCGAATCTGATGTAGATCAATCTGACCGGAGTTGATCCGTCGGTCTAACCGTGCCTATACCGCCGGTGCGACCGGTGTAGATCGCCCAGTCCAACTGCTCGCGTCGCCTCCTCCTGCTATCATCACCACCGGTCTAATCGCAGTAATGCCACCTGTCTGACCGCCGCGATGCCACCAGTCTGACCACCAAAACCTGAGCAAACACAAATCGAAGATCTCTCAAAGTAGATTGAAACTTTATTACTTCTCTCTGTGTTTACATAGGCCAACTACAATACTCCTCACGAAAATCTCGACTAAACTTTACTCTCAACTCAACTCTCTCAAAAACGATGCTTGGATTTGTTTCATGTTTCGGTACGTTTCAGAACCGTGTTTCATACGTTGTAGCAAAATGTTTTATTGTGTGATTTGATTGTGTTTTACCATTTCCAGCACGGAAACATTTTGAATTCGATGGTGTTTTCATTCTTTCCCTCGATATACTCAGATTTATTTCATGTTTCAATATATTCGAAACCGTTCTTTCATACATTGTAGCAAAATGTTTCATGGTGTGATTTGATTGTGTTTTAGTTTTTTAAAAGATTAAAACATTTTCGATCTACTTGGTGAAACAGCCCGATTTTTAGGCGCCTCAAGAACTTTATAATTAAAATTAGGTGACAGCAGGATATCAAATGAAATTATTTGGAAAAAAGGATATCATACGAAATAATGCGGAAAAGCACAGCCCATTCAATACATTATTAAGCCTTCTCAAGCCATTGGGATGGGAAGAAAGTTGCACTTTGCAAAGCACGCCCGTACACTTTTTTTTATAATAGAATGAGATCTATTATTTGCTTTAAAGAAACTACAGAAAGTCTGCGACTCTACAAGCTCATAGACAAGCACCTTATTTTTGCTTCCACGCACACAAAAATACCATCACAATCCTATACATAAGTATTTCCTCACATGACAAATAGTAATAAAAACCACTCGTAACGGAGAATCATCAACGATGCAGAAGTAACTAGTGGTTGTATGTTCATCTTGCTAATGGACCAACATTGGCCAATGAAACCGTGGTATCACTCGTGCCCGTGGTTCCACTGAGGGCACTATACTCACAAGTTTGCTCCAATGCCAGACTCTCCTTTAGCTGTGCAACCACAGCAGCCATTGTTGGACGTTGAGCGCCAATATCAGTGGTGCACAACAATGCAGTGTCTACCACCTTCCACATTGAGCTGACATCATAGGCATCTCCAAGCCGTGCATCCACAACTAAGCTGATGTTACCAGAAGCAACCTTATTTTTCACGCGCTGAACGATGTGGCCTAGCCCCGGTAGTATTGGAGATTCACCTGTGGCTATCTCTAGTAGAACAATGCCGAAGCTATAAACGTCACTGCTCTCGGTGAGCCTGCCAGTGTGAAAGTACCTAAAAAATGGTAGATGTTAATAGACCTAATCTGGGGCACTAAGTGATTAAAATAGAATTACGCCACACACACACAACATTCTCCCTCCCGGCTGATAATACTTAATGTTTTGGACAAGGGTAAGGACAAACTTTAAAATCTTTGGTTATGAATAATTCCTAAAATATTTGTCTTGGAAATATTTTGACTATATGTATAGATTAGTCTTAAAAAATACTTCAATAAAATCATATATTTGTTAACATTTATATACATATTATAATAAAAAATAATGGTCAAAATTGTTTTTTTAAGACCGTGTCTTTGTCCAAAACGACAAGTATTATCAACCTGGAGGGAGTAGTAGTTTTGATGAAACACCATGTTATCAATTATTTTTAGTGAAACACCATCTTATCGTTATTAATTTCATAACATAGTGAACTCACACAACTGAAAGCTAAATCAAGATACCTTATTTGAGAAAAAAGAAATGTAAATCAAGATAGCTATGGTATTGGATGAAGGTATACATACTCAGGGTCCATGTAACCTGCTGACCCAGCTGGAGTGACTGATATGTGAGTTTGTGTCTCACTAACATAAGATTTAGAAAGTCCAAAATCTGCTATTTTGGCTTGCAAATTTTGACTTAACAAAATGTTACTGGTCTTCACATCCCCATGAATTATTGGTAGACTACAACCTTTGTGCAGATAATCCAAGCCTACACATATCACCATCATATCCAGAGAACAATAGTGAGAAATGCACATTAATGCATATTGGCCGGTGATGTATCTAGTAAAACATGTTGCATTTTCATAAGTATACTTGCTTCGTTCTTACATTTTATAACTATAATATGTTAACAGAACTATTAATTGTATTAACATTCATTGGCAAGTCTAGCTGCTGATGTCATTTCATGTAAAAATTCTAACTAATTACATTGTAACACTTATCAAAGTTTTAAAATACACATTGCATATGTCGACAAGAAAAAAAGCAGCATACCTTGTGCAGCTTCGACCACAACTCGAACGCGTGTCCTCCAATTTAAGGAGTCACTAACACCATTATTACCTTGATATATGTGTAAAAGTAATAGTTAGAATAGAATCATGCATGTATTACATGCCAGTTTCAACAAATTTTACATATATCAATGCAATAGGTTTTACTTAGAAATGTGGAACTATTTCCTAGAAAGTTTATATATTTTTATTTGAGGTAGAGAAATATCATCGGAAGGCCTGTAAAGAAGTAATGAAATCTTAAGATCATAGTGTAGATCGACATAATTCCTTTATCAAGTATGATAGTAGCCTTCTAAAAAAAATAAGGACAACGGTTATATTTGGATTCGGCAAACCTCTCAAATGATCACAGAGACTGCCTCGAGCCATGTACTCATAAACCAGTGCTAAATGACCCTTCTCCCAGCAGTAACCGACCAAAGAAACTAGATTCCTATGATGCACCTTTGTCAAGCTTTGAACCTACAAAATAGAAAAAAAAATATAGAGTAAATCTCAAAGGTTGTACTTAATGATCTCATCGTAAATGTGACTAGGTTTAACCAGAAATATATTTCCTTTTTTCCCTTCAACTAAGGCGATAATACAGATGAGCTACATTCACATCTAAGCCATAACAAATTGGGATGCTAAGATCACTTTAACTTTTAGATTACCTCGGCGAAAAATTGATCAAGCCCATGCGATGATGATTCTGAGCGTATCTTGACAGCAACCTCAATTCCATCTTCTAAACAACCATAGAAGACGGGTCCAAAACCTCCTTGTCCAATGAACCGTTCAAAATTATTAGTGAACTTCTCAAGCTCCTTATATGTAAATTGGCGATTCTCAACTTTTAGCAGTGTGCCTCCATGATTATTTCTACTTGCTGGAGCAATATCAAGTTCTGGCTCTCTGGGAGGATCATCTGTAGAAACTGGTTCAAGAAAATACAGGTTGTATGAAAGAACTATAAAACATAGAAAAACATCATAATAAACATATTATAGACCGTAAGGATAAAAAGTTAGTACAAGTCAAACCAAATTAAGCGGAGCACGCACTTTTGGGTTTTCTTTTCTGTCTCCAGATCAAATACGCGAGAATAAGAACAATTGCACTCACAGGAACCACTACTGCAATGGCTATGATAGCTCCTCCTTTTACTTTCTTTCTTGACGGAGGTGGATTTATAGTTTTGTTGCACATATCTCCATCAGATCCAAAACTAAAATTACACAATACAGTCAGTTGAGAGTTTGCTTAATTTGGTGAAAAAAGAGCTAGTCTTCAGCGCTCACAATCCCAAATATCGAAGGAAAAGCAATATTCTGCAATTTGGATATATACATAATAAAGAAAAACATTAGTAAGAGCCAAACCTGAAAACGAATGACCTTGTATTGTTTTCACGGAGGGATTCAGGAATTGGTCCATCCAGTTGGTTGCATGACAAATTCCTGTGGTTACATGAAATTTTAGATACTAAAAGGTACCCCTCAAATATTCCTCTGCTTAAAACAAAATCAATCACTATGAACATTGAAGACATACAAATACTCGAGTGCTGTAAGCAATGTAAAGTTATTAGAGATGCTCCCGTGTAGGTTGCTGTAGGATAGATCCCTGCATGTATATTTAAAGCGATCCAACATAAGGCTAGCTAGGAACGAAATTCAACATAATATACTTGTTAACACACAATAATGTTTTTCATAATACTTACAAATATATTATCCTTGCAGTGTTGTTACCACTCACACTGCTGCATTTAATACCATCCCAGGCTAGTTGTGCTGGAAAACACGGATCACCTGTCCAGTTCTTCTTTATACCATACTCAAGTTTAATTCCCATGATAGCGTCAACTGGCATGGACAAAAATAAGTTTCAGGGTAATGTTTGATTAGATTTGATTCGTACCTATACCTCACAACAAACAAAACTCAAATTCAATTTTGTTGCACAGTTCATTATTACATAACTAACTAATTATATGGTTGGATGCTATATACCTAGAATCAAAATCTAACAAAAAAAATATGTTCAAATTCAGTTTGAACTAGTTAGTAAAGATGTTAATGTTCATACCTAAACATTTAAAAAGTTCATACTCATTTAAATTGGGTATATACTCAATTTGAATCTTGGGATAGCTTTTTTCTCTCTTTTTTGCTCCCTCTCCACCAGATCTCCCTCCTCGACTGTCAACGAGCCGAGCTCGCGCGAGTTTGGGTATGTAGGCTTGAGCTAGTTATAAACTCGAGCCAAACTCGAGCCGAGCTTGGTTAATGATCGAGCTTGGGAGTGAGCTCGAGTTCAAGCTCGATCGAGCTTTGAGCCTACTCGAGCTTGACAGCTTGACTTGGTGGAACTCCAAAGAATTTGCTCTTGTATAAGAGATATCAATGCAAACTATCGGTAGTCAAAATTAATAGGTGCTTCTTGTCTTGAATGAAGCCTCTGCAGCTTTTCTCATGAATTCATTACTTTGGAACGTTGAAATTAACAAAAGCTAGCTACTACATCTACTAGGAGTAGTAGTACTATTACGAGCAGCATTGATGAGGTCTTGAGACTTGAGCAGGTCAAGTACGATAACAAGTATATAGTGACATATCAAGAATGTCATCCTATATGCATTGCATCTAATTATGTTAATCAAGCTATGCCGAGCTATTCGAGCTCGAGCATGCTAGGCTTGCGAGCTCCAAGCTTTTTTAACAGCCCCTACCCTGTATGGGCGCCCTCCTCTCCCTCTCTTCCTCCCCTATTTTTCTTTTTTCTCGTATAAGCGCTCCTCCGTTTCTCCCTGGATTTCTTTCACTGGCCCCCTCCTCTCCCTCCCTATTTCTTTGTTCTATCCTCCCTTCCTCCTTCGATTTTTTTCTCTCAAGAAAACCAGCTTAAACTAGAGAAATTAAAAATAAATTGGTAAATTAAAGACTCTTGAACCCATGATCTCATGGTTCATAGCAAGCTCTCCGACCAATTCACCCTATGACACTATGTAATTAGAGGCCATTGTTTGCTCACTCTGTATATCTGTTCAAATTTTTGTGAGAATAAATCAGTTATGTAATTGTAGGATGTTAATGTAGGAATCACACCTTATTACTATAATTCCGTAGTAACATTATCACAGAAATGCTGTAACAAGATACGTGGCATGCAACTTTTGGCGGTAACATCATGATGAAAATTACAGTAACGGAGAACATGCAATAGTAACATTGGTATTATAGTAGTAATGCTCGTGTAGAGCTAAAACATTTTAAATCTCAATCTTTAGGGAGCAATATCTCTCACATCATATCTTGTTTTCCAATCTGTTTGCACCATGGCGTTCGTAAAAAAGTGCTTAACAAAACTAGCTCCATCATGACTATTTTTTAACGCTGTTACTGCAGAAAGCAATTATGTTACTACATATAGACCGTTGTGTTACCACGTCGTTCTAGCGAGACGAGAACTTGAAAAAGGTGGGTGTGGGGGAAGGTAGCAGACGGGTTTGACATGGATTTGACCGGCGGGTGGGGGCTTTGAATGGCCTTTGACTAAGTTGGAAGGTGGGTTTTGGCCCATGTGCAGGGGGTGTAGAATAGTTATTCTATGGGGGGATGTATAATACCACATACTATATCTATGACCCAATTAAGTACCCCTATAGCAGGTATGATTTCATAGCTTTATCTTGGGAGTCATTTCAGCCACTGTGTACCCCTTGACACTTGCATACTGCAAGTTGTAGCCATTCTCAGCTCATAGTTACCTGCTTGGTCAACATTGACCGCCAAAAAATCAACCGGCCACCAAGAAAATTCTGGTTTCTTATAGTGTGAGCAAAAGGATGAGATAATATGGAACCATCTCCCTCACCAGTCCACCAACATGGTCAACTTGCAGTGACTAGGCACCATCGCAAGAGGACAAATTCTATGGAGAAGGGCTTAGTAGTAAACAAACCTCCAAACGATGCCTCTAGTAAGGTTACGATGCTGAGAACGCCGTCATCGCCCGTCCTATGAGATCGGGACGTGGTTTTCATCAGACGTATTCCACAACGGAGAGAAGGAAATACACCATGAAAACACCCACAGGGGAGTTGCAACACCTAGAACACTGTTGTTGCCGGCACCGAACAGGCTGGGCTTTCGTCCGTAATCTTCCTACCCTCCCCTGTAAAGCATGCATGTCATTAGCAGCCACCACTATCCGAACACTTCAACATGCAACCACTACACCAGTGCCTCATCACCGATCGGCCAACAGGTAGGAGCTCAAAATTCGATGCACTCGGCTTCATCTGTGTCATTGGGTTGGAGAAGGATAAGATGGGATAGAAGAGTGGATTTTCTCTCCCCCGTAACAAGCCACCATCATCTCACAAGCAAGCCACCATCTACCCCACATCTGAAGGTTATCGTTCCACAGCTACCAAGTGGCTGCCATAGCCCCTAGAATTACCCGGGCTGATGCACCACCATGTGCCCTCCACCACGACCTGAGCTACCGTGAACACACCTGCCACCATCACTGAGGGGCAGGGCAGCCCACCGTCGACCCGCTTGCCATCACGCCACCGGCACCCATGGCCACGAGCATACCCGGCCAACACAACCCACTTGCCACCAACGTCATTTGTTGCCGCACCAGTCCACCTAGCCACCGCAGCTCCTATCATGCCCTGGAGATTCCCATTCTAGCCTCTAATACATTTAATAAATCACCGAAAGAAATTATTTAATTTAACCTAGAGTGAAGTCCTAATTAAAAATATTAATTAATAAGCCATTATGGCTTGGTGTGAATTTTCTTGAGTTCCCTTGCCAATATACACTAACTGGAATTTTAGTAACTTTAATAATTATAAGTCACTTATGGGAATTAATAAATTCGGAAATCTTTCCTTTTTCCTCCTTGCCCGTTGGGCCAAATCCTGGACCACTCTCCCTCTCCGCGCACCCGCACGCCTTCTCCCCCTGGACTAGCCAAAGGCCGCGGCCCAGCCGAGCCTTCCCACCCCTCTCCTCTCTGCGTGACGCCGATAGGTGGGGCCCATTTATCGGGCATATCCCTAACCTCCAATGTACGAAGCAGAAGGGAGCCGCCTCACACCCCCACTCCGCGCGCTCCGCATCGGCTCCACCCATGAGTGCCCCACTACGCACGTCCCGCACCTAGTCGTTCCCCACGCAGTCACCATTGTCACCTGCCTTGCGGAGACCAGTTCCATGCCCACCGCTATTTAACATTCTCCCCATCCTCTCCTCTTTTCTTTCCCGCACTCGCCATCCTGTCCTGCAATCCAAGTTTCTCCCGTGACGCCTAGCCTAGCTCTGTCACTCACCGCACCCCTTAGGCCGCTGCTAGCAACCACGTCGGGCCGTGTCATCAACACCTCTAGCCCTGTGAGGTTGAGATGACCCTCGGCCGCCACTCCCCACCGCCGAATCCTCACCAGAACCCTTTTTTCCTCGATCGCTGGTGAGCTTCATCCTCTCCCCGTCCTCCGGTCGGCAATGCCTGCTGCCATGCACCCCAATTCCCCTCCTTCCGGACATGCGGTCACCTCCCGAGCTGCTTTACTTTTTTACTGCTTTCAACTACTACCTTACAACTGCTTTATGCTATCAAACCCCTAGCTTCGTTGTAAATATCCTTTGGCATGACTTGTTGTGTACCGTGGGTAGTACTAAGTCTTGCTCTATTTTCCACCACCCCAGAGTTGCTGTACTTCTCAGACGGAGGAAACTCAGACGATTTAGCATCGTCCCTGCAGTCAAGGATGCTTGTGGAGTGGAGTTGGCACCTCGCTAGCATCGGCCATCATAGTTTAGCTAGCTTTTAACTTTCCATTGCATTCGTAAGACTCTTCTTATGCTTGTAATATGTGGATTTATATGTCAACATTGTCATCTGTATACCATGGCCAGTCCTAGAGAGGGATTTAAAGCACATTTAGCTTGGAATTCGGGTTCGTAAATTTCTAGGAGTGACGGCCCCCCAATCCAACCCTTTATGCGAGTGACGCTAGACCTACACGCAGAGAGGACTGCTATCACCATACCTCGCCCCATGCAAGCTAACGATTATATTTCTTGAAAAGACTATGTTGGATCTTGCCCACAGAAATTAAAAGCGCTAGCTTCTTAATTAAAAACATATAATCATCAAGCTAAAAACTTGATTATAAAATTTAATGGGAGAAAATATTTTTTGACCCAAATTAGAAATACAAAATTACAAATAAATACAAATAATATTTGATGAAAATTCAAAGGAGGGAAATTAAATTACATAAGTTAGGAACTTTTTTTATTTTTCCCATTCTTAGAAAGCATATTTTCCATGTTTTAATCAACTTCTAACAAATTTGAAGAAATTTTCTTCGATAGAGAGATTAAATTACCCTTTACAATTTCATCCAATTTTATCACAATTCATTTCAACATCTGAATTATGCAGTAATTAACTCTACCTCCTATTTTGTTTACTCAAATTGTTTTAGAATTATGATTTCTAATCTATTAGTTATTTTTTTATGGAAATGCTATTACTTAATTTACAGGGGAAGGGTGACATTAGCCATTCCCGAAAATTATAGCAGTCAACTAATTAAAAAGGTATAGAGAAATTTAAAATGAACTCGGTGCTTCCAACATATATATAGGGGATAAAGCAACTCAGGGGTATATATGAAGAAGATATCATGAAAATTGATGGGAGCATAAGGAAAATTTTAATTTAGTACTTCTTTCAGAACTTTGTTAAAATTTAATGTTGACAGGCCTTTTGTTCTTCCTTTTGTTTTAGATTCAAATTAAAACCTCCAGTTGTCAAAGAATATGGAGTTCTATAACAAAACTTAACATGGCAAAGAATGGTGAAAGCTCGCCACACTAGCTTGTTTCTCAACAGTTTGTTGATTGAGTGTATTTTAAATAATAGGTTATTTTAGTATGATAACCGAGCAAATGCAATACATCTAAAACCTTTTTCAGAACTCAAGATGATCTAACTGGCAGCTTTTTCTTTACATAGCTGAAAAAGTACGGTTTGGAAGAGAGATCTTTTAACCAAAATGCACGCACTAACCAAGTTATTACACCTGTATAATCATTTTTCAAATTCTTGCACTAGATCGCACCCACTTACTAAATTCGTGTACTATAGACACAATTTACTCTAAATTTTACTCAGGCCACCTTGCCTCGTCGTCTCCATCGTCATGTTTTGCACCTGGACAAGATCGCCATCCGTCCAGTGGACTGCAGAATCACCTACTGGCCGCCATCCTCATGCTCCTCTCCTCCAACTGGATGACCGTCTTCCTCGAAGGAAAGCAGAAGATGGCGTGGCTTGCCCGGCTTGCCAGGGTCGTCCGGCTGCAGACAAGGCGCTGGTCGGAGCGGACCTCGCAGTCGCAGCTGAACCTCATCGATCAGCTACTGCCAAGGCAAGCCAAAGGAGGAGGACACGATTGGCCGCCGCCGGTGAAAGATGATTCCACCGCGTGTCGTGTGGATGTGGTCCCTTATCCAGGTCACCAGCAAGGTGGGCGTCAGGGAGACGTTGGATGACTTCTGGTCTTCATCCAGTGCAGACCAGAGAACCAGTGAGCTGTAGCAGCACATCGACTAAGGCCATTTTTAGATTCTAATTTTTTTCTTCAAACTTCAAACTTTTCCGTCACATCAAATTTTTCTACGCACACAAACTTTTAACTTTTCCGTCACATCGTTCCAATTTCTTCAAACTTCCAATTTTGATGTGCAGGGCTGGCCCTAAGACAGTGCGGGCAGTGCGACCGCACTGGGCCTCCAAAATATGTATACTATGTTACCAAACCTGATAGGCTACTTTGTGCATTGAGAAGATGCTGTTAGATGAGATTGTTATTGATACTATCATCACTGATTTTGCATCTAGAACTGTTAGAAAAAAATGTTTTAAATGATCAAGAGATATTTCTTTTAGTATTTTAAACTTATTAGTGTGAAATTCGTTAATGACAATGAGTTTTTAAATATTATGTCTTGTATTTTTATGGTGAATGGGGGCCTTCATTTTTTGTTTCGCACTGGGCCATCAAAAAGTCGGGACCGGCTCTGTTGACGTGTAACTAAACACAGCCTAAGAAGAAGAAGAAGTTGCTGAGCTACTGCTGCTGCTGGTAGAAGGAGGAGAAGCCACACGTCAATGTGCTCACGTAGTCACGTATATCTCCGATAAGCTCAATAAGGAAGCCCAAAAAGTCAAGTTCCCTCTGAACTACAGCGTGATGAAAAAGCTGAGCGGCTGCCGCGGAGAGGGGACCCTCAGTGATGACGAGGGCCTTGTCGGGAACATGCATGCAGTTGCCGCTGACCAAGGCAACAGGAGAGAGGAGCTCAACCTAAAAAAAATCCAAAAGAGGAGGAGATGAAGGTGGTGAAGCAGGAGAGCTCATCAACCAGAAAGGAGGAGGAGACGCAGGAGATAGAAGAGTTGGTTGACAAAACAATCTTAGAGGGTGTTCGGGAGAGTCCCTCTCTCCCAAAAAAACAAACACCCCCCTTAAGGCCTTGTTCTGTTGAGAGAGTGATTGGATGGAATTAAAGGGGATTAATTCCACTCTTTCAATCTCCCTCAATTCCTTTGTGAGTGGGATTAACCAAACAAGACCTGAATGGCTAAAAAGGTAAGAAGTGATTAGTATTCAGTTAGAAGGTAAAAGAAATTGTTTGTTTCTAGAATTTGTTAAAAGTTTGAAATATATAGTCTCTTTGTTTTCTTATTTAAATTCAAATGTGAGGCCGCTAACACGTACAAATATTGAGTTGTGTTTATCATCTGCTTCCTCCCTCTCTGTTTTAACTAACCAACGCCAAATAAAAGGAAATGGAGGGAGTCGTTTAAAAAAAAGGCTCATAAGAAAAGAAGGATGAGCAATTTTCTTATAGATATGCTTACAGGCGTCCGTTTTAGAAGACAATGAATTTCATGAAACAGGAAAGCGATCAAATTTATCCTGGTTATAACTATTGCGGCTAGGTTTAAACATTAGCTTATTAAAACAGTTAAACAGATATTCGGAAGTAAATATAAAGAGAATACTTACAGTCTCTAGGGAACGTCATTGGATCATCATGGGAGATGAGAGCATAGATCTCGTACGCGTTAAGCATCGGTGGCAGCTTGGACTCAGCAGTGGGCTCAAGAGTGATGGTGTACACTCCACCGGGAGCTTTGTACCATTGGCTGTTGCTAAGGACACCATTGTCTAGGTAAGGTGGGCTTACCTGATATGACCCTAGCTCGTTGAAAGAAACATTGAATTGTCGGAGCTGGCTGTTCTGAAAGTCCGCAAAGTGCATGAAAACCTTGTACTCAATGGGGGCACTATTTTCCCATTTAATTCTAAGAGATGACTTGTTGGCCGCCTCAACGGCGGTCTGCATAACAGGGGAAGGCACGCTGAACATGGAATTATTCTTGATGGTCGACGCAGTTGAAAGGTTCTTACACGTCGGGTCAGGTGCTATCTGCCCCCACCAGTGCCGGTCATATCGATCGTAAGGGTAACTGGATATATATGTCAAAGGTAAAGAGAAATAGTAAGTTTTGTAAAACTATAAAAAACTGAATTTGGTATTTGCTATATATATACTCGTTGTGTCTCAAAATGTAGTTATTTTTGGCCTTTAAATTTCATCTTAAAACATAGCTATTTGCTATTTCTTCTTCCCACGTTTAATTAATTCACATAATTCAACTTATATTCAATGTTCGCCTAGACCTCGTCTAGATGCTAGACGACGGGTTATCGTATAGTTTAGGGCCTAAACTGTGAATTAGACGGTCAAAGACCGTTTGACCGTCTAGTCGGTCAAAGACGGTTCTAAACTATCTAGACTACACAATTAGACAACATTTAGACGAGTGTAAACCGTAAACCTATCGTTTAGACTATGGTCTAGGCAATAGGCCAATGCATTTTTTGTGTGGCTGAAGCTGAAACTTTGAGCCTCGACGAAAGCCCTTATGGTTTATGGTTTTATCCCATTACATACTGTTCTCCTCTACTCTAAGCCAATCACTGTAACGAAGTCACATTGTCTCTCCTCTGCTAGTCGTTACAGTGGACCTTGCTCCCACCTCTCTCCAGCCCACAGCTTTACTCGAGTGGCAGCACCTATCATAGCACGGCTAGTTCTCTAATATTCTATGAAAAATATTAAGCATATTTACATGTGTGCCAAGAAAAATATGCCGATAATATAGTGTACGGTATATCGTCTAGACCATCTAGACTGGCTAGACTCTAGACCATGGGTCATTGTCCGTCTATCGTCTAGCGTCTAGATGAACATTGCTTATATTATCGACCAATAGCAATTCCATTTAATTGGACCTACTTTTTAAATACTTGTGCTTTGCTTCAGAAATGTTAATTTATATTTTAGAATAGATGGGACATGTGGATACTTTTAAAAATACATACTATAATATACCTTAAAGTGGAAATGTCTGAGCCCACGTTTTTCCTTGAAATCATGCGCATGGACTGTTTGGCGTTGATGACCGGATAGAGCTCGCTGCTGAGTCTCCTCAGCACCACCGACGACGCAAATGGCGTGCCACGGCCGGTGTTCAGCAGGCACACCGGCACCCAGCTTGCCCATGCCACGAACAATGCCTCGTGGAACTCGTTCCAGGGATCTTTTACGGTGGCCCAGTAATTCACCCCAAGGTAGAGATCGAACTGAATCGTCGACGAGCTGTTCTTGCCATCGTAGTTGCCATAGGCAGATCTCACCCGGACAAGATACTTGGCTCCGGCCACGGTCGGCAGCGCGTAGCAGTTCCGTACGCCGGAGGGAAAGCTCCTCACTGTGGAGTAGGGTCGAAACGTCCCACTCTGGTGCTCAGGGGCTACCATATGGTTCTCCCCGCCATCGACATATTGGCCGTCGGGCTCGTAGACGATGCCGTCATCTGGGTTCTTGTAGCTGCCGTAGTTGGGATCCATGCCACAGTCGATGCTTAGAAAGCCATCTGGTTAGTATATGTATAAACAATCAGATGGACTCTCTGAACTCTGAAGTGTGATATCGAATTCTCAACCTTAATTCTGAACAAGCAAATCGATCTGTATCAGAGAACTAGGAAAGGATCAAAAACAGAAATAACCTTCTTGGCCGACTGCTCCATCAAGTGCTGTGCCGAATAGGAATACAGCAAAGAAAAGCAAAGGCGCCATCGACACCAGCCGACGATGAGCCGAACGCCAATGGCCAGCTAGCTGGTTTCCACATGGATGCATATTGGTGGCTTTTATAGGCAATTGTGCCTGTATGTATCAACGCACACGTTTTCATGCTAAGAGCAGGTATAATAGGACGCTATAAGCCAGCTATAAAAATATTTTAAGGAGATATAAGAGGAGAGATAGGAGCAGCGGGCTATAGATTTGTAGCCAATTACAGCACAAACTCCAAGATACATATGTGTATGATAGGTGGGACCATACATTAATTATATAGTACATATTCATAGGTAACTATGGTATGAATTGACTATTAAATTGACTCTAGATGATTTGGAGTCAATAGTTGGCTCTACTGTTAAACTTGTTCTTATGTCCACATTGCTAATATATATTACTCCCTCTGGACTCCTGTCATGGTCATATGTATTTGATGTTTACTATAAAAAATGCCCGTGTGTTGCAACGGGGTAAAAACGTTTTCTTTATGTTATACATTTTACTCCCTTGGTTTTGGACCGAATGCTTCCTTGGTTTTGGATCCAACGCTCATTCCTTCCTTTCCAGCTTTAGTCCTAGCCCTGTCCGCTACCTCCCTCTGCTCGGCCTACCTCTCTTCGGCTCAGCCCACAAGTGAACCTGTAGGCTCAGCTCGAACAATCACGTGCCTGTACCATAACGGAGCGGATCCTCCCATTAAATCCGGTCCAATCTTTCTCGATCTCCAAAATTTAATCCGGTTGAGCTTGCATAGTCCAGTGTTCGTACGATGATGGAGCCGATCCTCTCCATCAAATCCGGTCGAATCTTTCTCAATCTCCAAAATTGTTGAGGGATTTTAATCTACTCGATCTCCATCTTCCATTTTAATCAAAATCCCCGAAATTGTCAAGGGAAAATGACAAATCCGGTCGAATCTTTCTTGATCTCCAAAATTGTTGAGGGATTTTGATCCACTCGATCTCCCTCTTCCTTTTTAATCCAAATCCCCAAAATTGTTAAGGGAAAATGATGAGAGAGTAGTCAGGAATCTTCTTGATCTCCAAAATTTAATCCGGTTGAGCTTTCTTGATCTCCAAAATTGTTGAGGGATTTGATCCACTCGATCTCCCTCTTACTTTTTAATAAAAATCCCCAAAATTGTTAAGGGAAAATGATGAGAGAGTAGTCGGGAATCTTCTTGATCTCTAAAATTTAATCCGTTCGAGCTCGCATAGTCCCGTGTCTGTATGATGACGGAGCCGATCCTCTCCATCAAATCTGGTTGAATCTTTCTTGATCTCCAAAATTTAGAGGGATTTTGATGCCCTCGATCTCCTTTTTCTATTTTTTTATCGAAATCCCTAAAATTTGTTGAGAGAAAAATGATGAGAGAGTAGTGGGGAATCGGTTTTTGCAATCAATTGGAGAAGAAAACACACAGGAAAGCAAATCAACGTGACCGCGGCGCAGGGTTCGGCACACGAGAAAAACTGCAAAAAAAAGCGACAAAAGAAAGAAAAACGGCGAAAAGAAAATAAAACGGAAAAAAACGAAAAAGAAGGGAAACGGGAAAAAAAGGAGGAAACGGAAACGGAAAAAAAGGAACGGACAGCGAAAAGAAAATAAAACGGAAAAAAGTAAAAAAAAAGAAGAAAGAAACGGACGAAACTTTTACCGGAATCTTTATGAATTTTTTAATTAGGTATAGATATGGTAAGGTTCGGTAGAGCTCTTTAAACATCTCAATGCTCAGTTTTTATTTTTAAAAAATCATGTACATAGATTTCCCATCACAATTAAGTACATTGTAATATTTTGAACTTTATTGGGTTTTTCTAATATAAAATTGACATTCAAAGTTTTAAAATTTTGATTAAACGCAAGATATTTTTGTTGTTGCTGCTACTACGAAATATAGAGTTTGTACTTTGTACAGGTTGCAGAATAGCGTCAACTCCCACCGCCACCACCACTGCCCCCGCTGCTCAGTCAGAACCATACAAACCAGCATGTATCGCAGCCTTACCGCCGCCATCTTAAAAACCATGTGGCGATCTAGTGGTAAGCTCTGGCGGCAGCGAGATGAGGAGGAGATGGTAGCGGCTATGGATTCGGGGGAGGGGAAGGGTTGGAATTCGGAAGTCAGTCTAGGTGGCACACTGATTTCGTTTCTAAGTCCTTGCTAGTTGAACCATGTTGAACCGGTGTGCCATGTTGAGTCATCATTCCGTTGGTAATTAATTAATTCTGAGACAGTTGAACCAACACACTGGTTTTGTTGCTAATTTATTCATTAGACGGTCACCGTCTCGCCATTGATCATAGCTGCAGTTTAATACGCAACTCACTTATACTCCCTCTCTATCTAAAAAAAACTCAACCTAGAGGAGATGTGATCCCACCTAAGACAATGAATCTGGACAAAGGGTAGTCTAGATTCATTGTACTAGGAGGATGTAGCGCCCGTTCCGTCGTGGCGCCTAGCGGGAAAATTATCTCTTAAAAACCCTAATTGCGAAATTTGTTTCCTTGCTTGTTGTCTAGTGTCCGTGCCATCTCAAGATCTCAATCCCCGATCTATCGTCGAGTCCAATTCCAAATCCAAATCCTTCCAAATCAAATCCCTCCGCAAAAGTCTATTTTGCCTCCCCCGGGTTCGATGGGCCGAATTTCTCTCGGCCCATCTCCCCCTCCCTCCCGGCGTCCGCTCTCTCTCTCTCTCTCTCCCCCCTCCCCCTCCGCTCCGCCCGCGCGCCGCGCGCGCGTGCGCGAGCGTCGCGCCGAGCGCCCTCCGCTCCGCCCGCGCGCCGCCCGCGCATGCGCGAGAGTCGCGCCGAGCGCTCCCTACCCCTCCGCTCTGCCCGCGCGCGTGCGCGTGAGCCGCCCGCGCCGAGCCGAGTCCTCCCTCTCCGCTCCCTCGCTGCCGCTTCCCGCGCGCCGTGTTGGCGTGCGCGCGCCCGCGCGGTCGCCGCCCGTTGCTTCCCGCACGCGCGTGCCGTGGTGGCCGACCGCCTGGTCGCCGCCGTCGTCAGCGCCTGCCGCGCCTGTCGCTCGTGTCGCCGCTCCGCTCCACACCGCCCGCCGTCATCGCCGTCGTCATCGCCTCGGCCCCGCCACTCCGCGCGCTAGCCTCCAAGGGGCGGAGGCAGAGCCCCCCCTCCCTCTGTCGCGTCGCCCCCGCTCCCCTCCTCCTTTTCCCAAAGAGGCAAGGGACAAGCCCCCTTTCCCTCCCCCTTTTTCTCCCTTTTTCCCTCTCGCCGGTGTCACCTCCTGTCGCCGTTTTGGCCGCTAGCCGGAGCGCCAGCTCGCCGGCTTGACCGTCCAATGTCGGTTCCCCTCTCCCAAACCGACATTGCCGCCCATTTAAACCCGAGCCCCTCCCCCTCCAATCTCCCTCGTTTTCGCCTCCGTGCCATTGCTGTCGCCCCTGTTCGCCGTCGCCGTTCGTCGTCGTGTGTGTGACCAGAGGAGCCGGTGCACACTAGGACGCGGAAGGGGACTCCGGGCGCTCGTCTTCCTCCTCTTTCCCGGCCCGAGGCCGGAGAGATTACTCCCGCGCCGTCGGCCTCTCGTCACTACGCCCGCCCGCACGGTAGTGCCTCCCTCCGTTCTTCCTCCTCGCTCCATCTCCCCCCCCTTAGTTTTCGGTGGTAGCACGAGTAGCCTCCCCGTAGCTAGCCGGCGCCGCCCCGACCGTTGCCGTCACTCGCCATGTGCTCGCTGCCGTCGCCGCCCGAGCTCGGAAGCGCCGCTCGTCGCCGGCCACGCTCGGCGTAGTTCTGCCCAATCCGACGCTAGCATCGGATTCCCGTAGCCGCGTAGATGCTCTCGCCGCCGGGAATTGGCCCCTCGTGACCTCGTCTCCGTTTTCCTCTTCTCCCGCCGCCGGTTGCCGCCGCCGCGATTCGCCGCCGTCAAGCTCCCTCCGGCGAATCCGAGACATTGGCTCGTCTCCCCTCGTCACGTGCAACCACCCGGAGTGCTCGCTTTTGCCTGTATCGCCATGGTTTGCTCCGTCGCTCGCCGCTGTCGACCGCCGTCCGTTCCGGCTGGCGTCGTCGTCTACCTCCTGCCGGCCCGCGTGGCAGCCACGTAGGCGCCACGTCGGCGCCAGCTCAGCCTAGACCGGGTCGAGCCGACCTCGGTCAGTCCCTCCCCGTGTGCGCGTTCCACCGCGAGCCGTGAGGCTGCGCGTGGGCCTGCCGCACCCGCGTCCACCGCGAACCGCGCGCGTGCACCGCGTCCTTCCCCCACCCTAGCGCCGCGCCGCGTGCTCCCTCCGCACGGTGAGCCGAGCCGCTGACAAGCGGGTCCCACCCGGGACCGCGCGTGGTGAGCCCGGTCCACCGGCCCTCTCTCTCCTCCCCTCCCCCGCGCGCGCGCTTGGGCCGTCTTGGGCCGGCCGGCCCATTTAGCTCGGCCGGACCGCCCCATCTCTCTCGGGCCGCGCCCTAGCCGCCCGAGGAAAAGTCTAATTTCCATCCCTCTTTTCGTTTCTTTTCTTTTCTTTTTCAAAAAGGATTTAATTAAATCATTTTTCCTTTAGACCAAAAATCTAATAAACTTAGAAATTCAATATCTTCCCAACCGTAAATCCGTTTGATTCCGTTCAACTTCCAAAATTCCTCAAATCTCGAGATCTATCTAATGGCACGCTTAGAGGTCATTTTAGGGCTTTATTTTCGCCGTTTGTTGAGTTGTCCCGTTTCGCGTGTAGTTTCGGAGCCCGAAGACCCGCAGCGCGAGGATTTCGAGGATCAAGCTCCAGAAGTCGAGCAAGGCAAGCCACCTTTGAACATCTTGAACCTATATTTGAAATTTAATTATATTGCTTGCAAAATATTATGCATTGATAGGATCGCACTTAATCTGTTGTCCCGTCTGCAAGGCAGATTGGCGGACCTACCTAATTTTGTTGCATTTGATCCTTCCTTTGTTAATTGCTATACCATGTCCCCTTGTAACCATCTAGTTGCGTCTCGATATTCGTGCACCCTGCGCGAGTATCGACG